CAAACCTGTGGCGCCTTTTGTACTATATAGAAATATATAAATCAGTTCCTTACTGCGTCACCTGTCCACGTTGTTTGCGGCTGTTTTTATTTCCAAATAAATATGCATTTGCATTGGCTTAGAGTTCGCTCTAAGTCTTTGAGTCGGCCAGCCAACCTCGTCGAAGTAAATTATGACCTATGATAACTATTCCGAATATTCCGAGTATTCCAGGTAACCCGTCGGCCACAAATAAATTGCAATTTAATCCTCTCACGTTCGCCCAACAGATGGCAGACAGAATAACGGAATACTATCGCAAATGCAAATATAATAACAGTAAATAATTAACTATTATATATTACTTTTAGTTTCGCAATTAGATAAAAAGGCATAAAATGGAAAATTCCAGACAAATGCACTCGAATCTCGTGATTATTTTTTTAGCTATAAACTAAAAAATTAAATAAAATCTTTTTACGAAATTGTTCACACAAAAGAAATCTGAGCGAAGTCGGAAACAAGCAAAACTGTTGGCTTCACCAACTACGTTTATCAACAGTTGAAATGTCTTCATAAAGGAGCCTGCACTACCTGTATTGTCCCATATTGCAAAGAGATATACAGTAGCATCCGGTTATAGCGACTTCGCTTATTGTGTCCGCACGGATATTGCGACGAAAATTCTGGTCGCCACACAAACTTATAGAGTAAACTTATATGGCAATAGCGTCTTCCGGTTATAACGACGATTCCTTGAGCGACGTTATAATCGGATTCTACTCTATGTAGCTTGTTCAGCATTTCCACACTCCCAATATCCACTATATCTTCTTGATCTTGTCTGGCCTGCGTTATACAAATTTCAAGTCTCTCGTACTTCAAATAACATCGTTTCTACCGGATATACCCCTAGAGGACATATGGGGAAAGTCTCAACAATTTATAAGGCTGCAATGCCCCCAAGTATTTCCCTCAAACCTCAAGTCGCCAGCTTCAATGGTAACCTATGTATATTCAAGTTTTAGTTTTCATTCTTTACACTTCCTAATATATCACCAGCTTGCGTCTCGAGATTTATCTGATTCTTATAAGATTCGTATAAAAGATTTTCATTTTATATGGGCAAAGTTCAATTCAATTGAACTAAATAAAATTCCATTGATAATTTAAAGGAAAAAGAAGGAATCTAGTTATAGAATAGATAGATATAGATATAGAATGACATCGACAGACCTTGATATAGGATAGATATATAGGTTTACATATAAGAACATCTCAAAATAATTTGATTTTTAACAGCTCACATATAACGCAGAATTATCAACTTGCGTTCTGCATTGCTCAGAGCTAGGCACATTTCAATTCAGCTAATTTGAACTTGATTGGTAGTTAAATATGCCTAAGGTCATCTACTTGCTACCTTATGCCTAAAACTCATTCTAATTGACTCACTTTACATGCATATACACGATTGCATCAAATGAGTTTATTCAATATTGTCACAGTTGTCAGTCGACAGCTAATTGAATAAGCCAACGAACGTCACTCTTAATCATTCTTTGGCATTTGAAGATAATTTCTCATTCGCTTCAGATGATGTGTCTTAAACGGAGTAAATACGATCGCAACCAGAGAATTATTGTGTATCTGCAGTCGCAAGATGTCTGTATCTTATCTCGTCTTTAACTGCGATCGTTTATCTTGGCCGTTATGCGACACCAATTTGACATATATACGTGTGCATATACATATATGTATATATATGTATGCCAGCTGCATGTGTGTGAGTGTGTCTGTAAGGCACTTTCTTTGCTCTCATTGCTGCGGCTGGTCTCATTTAAATGGCCTGAGGGCAAAGTGGAAATCAATGCTAATTAAAGTCATGTCGATATTTGACTCCATATATTTGTCGCTCTGAATGCGTGCGTATTTCGAAACTGTTGTTGTTGGCGGCCCGCATAGCTAAGTGACACTCAGAGATGCCGTCGACTGCCGACTGTTTCAGTGTCAAATGTCAAATTCTATGTGGATGACGATACAACAACAACAACAACAACAACAAGTGTGGCAAACAACTATGAATGTGACGTCAAAGCAACAGTCCATAAGTGTATATGCATACATGCTCATGTCAGCAACATTCTATGTGTATGTGTGTGTGTTAGTGTGAGTGTGGTAGTGCTATGATATACAACATTTAATTGACACATGTATAGAGCTTGTCAACAAAACACGGCTGCCTCTGGCATCCATAGCTGTTGGCACCATCTACCCCAGCTTCAGCTGTAGGCACCCACACACGCGTCGCTCCCCACCCGCCGCCCCCTCTCCACATCAGCCACGAACCCACCTTAAAATGTATGGCTGCGTGATATATGGCCATGCTAATTGCGGCTGCCACTACTGATCGGCGGCTATCGTGGAAAACTGAAAGGAAATCGTGCGAATTTGCAGCGAGTGTAAAAAGTTTTTCTTGTTTTCCATTGAAGTTGATTTAGTTGCTAAACGTATGTGTGTGTGTGTGTGTGTGTGTACGTGCCAGTTTTGTGTGTGCTTATTTGTTGTCTTGTTGGCTGTTTGTTAAACAAATCCAGGCCGTTAATTGCCAGCACAAGTGTCAAATCCAGACCGACGAGACACGAACAATGCCCAACACAAACACTGCCGAGAGGGGGAGAGGGAGAGGGAGCTTCATTTCATGAAGAACTTTCCAAGAATATCCCCAGTCATATTACGACACAGATCTGGATTTGACAAAGGCTTCGCAGCGCCCATTAGCCGCGGCGTCCGTCTGTCTGGCTGCCACTTTGGGCTGCCACTTAATAAATAGTTTGATGCATTATTTCTGCTTGCATTCAATCAATAAGGCAACCGACTCGGCGCCCCCTTTTGTCTACTCGTTGCTGCTTCTAGTGGCTTTTCCGCAAAATGCTTTTAATTCAATTTTATTTCAATTTAATTGCCACATTGCCGAGTCGCCCCAGCTACAGCCGCAGTCGGCATAGCCAATGCATATGCTTGTCTATATGGGCCTGCCTATCTCTGTCGATCAGTTCAACACGCTCACTGGGAACTGGGAATGGGAATGGGACTGCAACGGCGACGGCGACTGATTATTTCGCTCCGCTCTCGATATTATACAATATTTTCGCGTTGATATATGTGCATGGCATAGGCATAGGCATAGGCATTGCCATCGGCGTCGGCAGCGTTGCAATGGATTTCGAGCTATTCGCCTCAAGTTTTCTATGAATTTACCATAAACAATGCTAAATGGAATGCATTTGGCTGGCAATTGAACTACTTTTCCTTCGTACAGTCCGCTTCAGTTCGATAGGACTTATGCGTGCAGCCAAGTCGATTGCACATCATAGAGGAGAGCAGCAGCGACACTAAATTGAAATCAAATGGCCAAACAAATGAAAATGGAATTTCGCTCTCAAATAGAAATAGAAATCTATTTCACACGCAGCTTGAAGTGCATATGCGAATGCTCACAGTGGCTGCCAGAGTAAATGTACTGCTCAGCAAATAAATAATGCAAGCAGCGATAATAATGCGTGTGGCATGCGTGTGAGGGAAAGGCAGAGAGAAAGAGAGAGAGAGAGAGAGGGATGTATTAATTGTTTGTACCACTGGGCGTATACGTAATATGTGACACTTGACAGCACCTTGATGGATGTCTGAGTCCCAGTCCCAGTCCCAGTCCGATCTGAGGCTGAGGCTGATGCGTGGCAGCACGCTTCACAGATAAGCCGATGGCATAAGCAAGACACACTTAGCGCCGAGTGACCTTCAGCAGGGGCTTTGGGTTACTGCAAACATTACATCTTCATCGTAATAAAATGCAATCACATTTCTCTTCAGCTTCACGACGACCCGATACGCTGTTGACAGGGCGACAAATAGGGATTGGATTCGCGCAGCTATAACGGCGCCATGGAGTTAACCAAACATTTGAGTTTATTGGCGCTCGCTCTGGTCGCGGTGCTGGCGTTTTATGGCCACTCCACAGATGCCTGCGTGTGCGAGCTCGCGCATCCACAGAAGCATTACTGCAACGCTGATTATGGTGAGTGGAAGTGAGTGTGCGTGTCCCTGGCGAATTTAATCTAAATGCCAGCATTGCCTTGCAGTTGTGCAGCTGCGCGTTCTCCGCAAATCGGAAACCCTCCAGAAGTACCAGACGGTGTACAAGGTGCAGATAAAGCGCATCTACAAGGTAAGCACTCGCCATTGGCATTGCCACTGCCATTGCTTGGGCAGTGCCCTTATCAGAGCTCATCCTATCTGATTTCCCGTTAGGCCACACCTGAAGCTCGTCGCATGCTGCGCGACGGTCGCTTGTCCTCGCCGAGCAGCGACTCCATGTGCGCCATCAAGCTGGAGCTCGGCAAGATATACATCATAGCCGGCCGAATGCCGCAGCTGAATCTGTGCAGCTACTACAAGGAGTACATCAACATGACGATCAGCGAGCGGCGCGGCTTCAGCGGCGCCTACGGCACCGCCTGCAACTGCACAGTAAGTGGGATCGAGTGAACTGTCGACACTCAGCTGCAATCACATCCCCTTTAAATCCACCCACAGATCAACACGTGCTACAAGCAGCAGTGCCCCTGGCAGCGGGAGAGCGCGGACAGCTGCTCGTGGTCGATGCATGACAAGTGCAAGCGGGACTATTCCTCCTGCGTGCTGCACAAGAGGCAAACGCCTGTGGGCGAGGTTCAGTACTGCCGCTGGAGGCGCACGCTGCTCTACAAAAAGTGCCTGAGCTATCCGTAGGGTGTCGACTAGGGGCTGGAGCTGGAGCTGGATCTGGCCGTGGAATGGCTTTTGTTATGCAACAGTTTTTTTTAATTTTAATTTTATACTCGAGTTTATAATTGTGTAGAGCTTTAATTCGTACGCTATGATTAATGTGTTATTTATTAATGGATGGCTTTTAGTTGTGACCACGATTCGATGTAGCTACTTAACTTAATTAGTAATTAGCACTTAATCTTTAATACACTTACCAAATCACGCGGATTCGGGAAGAATGTCTGCTCGATCAGCGGGAAGCCGTCGCGTCCCAGGCGCCGCTGCAGCTGCAGCAGATGCGCGAACACCCATGGCTTATCCTATTCGAAAAGAAACAGAAAACAAATAAGCAAAGGCCAAGTCAATGCTGAGAAGAGGTCCTCTTCCAACTCACCTGGAACTGGTAGATGGAGTGCAGAGAGTTGATGCTGGGCACTCCGCCGTACTTGAGGCCCAAAATGGTCGAGCGGAAGTCGCTGGAGCCATCGCGCGGCGGTTGGCGTATCAACACGAAATCCGGCCGAAATGACCGGGCAACCTGTATTTGTAGTTTTTTTATGTTTTTAAATATTATTATTATTCTTATGATTAATTTGAGTTGTTTTGGTGTGTGATATTCCAAAGTTACATTAGAAACACATACATACATATGTATGAAGAGCGGATTACAATATTTTTATTTTTAGCCGAGTCTTAACTAATTGAACGCAAAGTGGCATAAATAAATATGAGAATCACAAGTTTAAAGCATTAGCAGCTTACGTTAAATTGAACTTAAACACTCTTTTACTTTAAATACCTTGCAAAGGCGTCACTTAATTGCAGCACAGAAATTGCAACGATGCATGCACATATAATCAAGCTACATACATACATATATGCTTCGTAATTATATGTGACTGTCAACTCAGTCGTAATATGCACACACGCACAGAATTACGTGCTGCCCACATCCCGCTGTCACGTAAGCATTCGGATAATTTTATCACGTTCCATATGCTATGCATCAATTCAAGAGTTGTCGATTCATACTTTTTACTGCATACTTTTTAGCTGAGCAAACAAATACATTTGGTGAGAATAAATGATGTGACTTGGATACTTTGGATACGGAATACACATTCGGATAACTAAGTGCTAAGCTTATATGATATTTCAGACTTCTCATGGATATTGATACTGATTTTTGTCACTTGGCACTTTTCGACACTTGGCTTAAATGCATAGGTTTTGGATAACGATTTATTTTATAGCATACTTTTGGGCTGAGAAAGTGAAGTTTGACAATATTTACTGAACATAATTCAGACCCTTTGGTATTAAATATTTTAAGATTTTAAATAAATTGATCATTTAAACAAATTATTAAATTTGATATTTGCTACAAAGTTTTGGCGAATATATTATTATACAGCTTATAAAATTAGGCATTTTTGTTTGACGCAATATTAGAGTGGTATTTAAAGCAATTTATCATCTAAAATGATTTTCATATTTATCTGCCTTTGATTTGGATGCCGGATAATAATTCGGATAAATTAGCGATTGACTGCAATAATATAAGGTTATAAACTTGGGTAAGCCTAAATGCGTTGTCCAATATTTATGCTGCATACTTTTGGGATCACTCAACAAATACTTGTGGTGAAAATACATGTTATATTGAAAATTAATTCGGATATCCAGTGAAATTTTCGAAAATGGTCAAAGACTTGGCTTAGTTCTGATTCATCCAATCTACACAACTTGAACACAAAATAATAGAAACTAAGCACAAACTATGAAATAACTTTATATGGTATATGTACTGTGAGGTCCTTAAGCTTCATTTTGAATTGAAAGAGATTTATTTTTATTATATGTACTTTCTTTATAGCTGGCTACAAGTATCCGGTGCTTACGCATCAACTAACTTAACGGGCAAATAAGTCACAGTATAAACTATAAATGCAGTATGCAGCAAGTAGGTCATGGGTAAGGCACTTGCGATTTGATTACTCTTCAATGGTGGCCACAGCAGAAGTGCTGGAAGATAAATAAACACCTCTGAGTAGAAAAGCGTTGATAAGCAGAGCACTCGAGTGTCCTTTAGCTAGGAAATAAATTGAATGCGTGCCCGATGCAATCTATAGCTGGCGGTGTCAGCCCGACCCTTACTACCACTGAAATGCGACGGCAATAAAAACAAATATAACAAGGCTGCAAATAAACAGGCGGCTAACAACTGGACAGGACAGACAGGGAATGGGAGCGCGCTCTGTCCTCTGTCATCTATCCTCTATAGAGGAGCGTTGCACTAATTAAGAGCAAGCAGGATGGCTCCGATGAGGGGCTACAACTCACCCGGGTGCCGCTGCGATAGGCGGCCATGGTGACAACCGGTCCGGTGTCGGCGCTGGAGACGACGGTGATGTCCTGCGGATGCACAGCAGATAATAGAGAGGGTACACAATGGTGTTAGTGTGACTGTAGCTTACTCGGAACTCCGCCTGCTCCACGCGTATGTCGAAGTCGCCGTGCAAGCGCCGGCCACGGAAGTACTTGGACCAGTCCGTGTTCTGATCATCCAGCACCAGCAGCGTGAAATATCTGTCCTTGTTGAAGGCGGGCGCCCGCTGGGTGGCACTTTGGACCGCAGCTCCTGTGGGTGGGGTGTGGCAAGGGTAGAAAGGGATTAGCAAATAATTTAATTTCAATTTATTTTCCAAACCGGACGGCATTCAGTTGATTCTCGCGTTCATTTCGTCTACAATTTCGCCAAGTTTCGCGAAGATCTCACTTCTTCAATGCTTATCTGAACTGAAATACTTCATACCATTAGGAAGATAGCTATGGAGCAGTAAATTTAAGTATATTTCTGATACATCACAAATCATTGTCATAAATTCTTGACGTGTTGTTAACGTAACTCACGCCCAAAATTGATTTAACTAATTTTATAAAACATGACACGATTGACGAGTAAATGATTTATTAATACTCGGGGTGAGTTTACTGTAGGTTGACCTTGAATTTGTGTTTTGCATAGACGACATAGGCGACAATTACCGACCATCAATTCAAATTTCTACTGCACAATCATCATTAGTTATGCCATCAATCATTAATCTAGTCTAATCGCTATCATTTGGTATTTCTGTTACAGTCACTCTTCATATATTGAAAATTGAATAATCCTATTGCTAAATTTTTTATGAGGTTACTATTAAAAGCTAAGTTTCTATATGAAAACATGTTTAATCTTTAATAGAGAGCTGTATGAATACCATAAATAACCCTGTTCGAATTAACAATGCACATACTCTTTAAAGATCGATTTCGAATAAATACGCCTTTTATTTATTTGACTTGTGTCCCTGTTGTTGGTTTTAGTCGTGATTTCCCGAAGTCCACTTGAAGACATCAGAATGAGGCTTTCAAGATCAACGTCATACATAAACATAGGGTATTTCCTACTGTTGGCACGATGCATACTAAAGCACATGCATAAATAGACTTTTGGATTTTGAAATATATGTACACATTTCATTACAATTTAGTATATATAAGAATCGCTTATAATTCACAAAACTTAACTGCTCATTAGTTAAGGATGCAACATAAATTAAAGTATACCAAAATTAGTTTTTACTGTATCCAGCAACATCTATTGTAGCTGAGACGACTTTTGAGATATGGAAGATTTTAGTCAAATAAATAGATTTTATTTAATAAATAGTATTCGTAGTAAAAGTCTGGTATGACTAATGAGATGACTATAGCGTTCATACTTAACAGAGCAGAATAGGTAGGGTATACAGATCCTTTAAGCTCTGTGTCACAGGCTGAGAGTGCTCCAAGCGCTCTCATTGCGCTTCAGATAATCCCTTGTGGTAGCATCGTTGGAGCATTGTGGCTTACGCAGAGTTGGCGCTCTCAGCATGGGAGAAAAGTTGCCTGATGCTGAGCCAGATACGAAAGGGGAAACCGACAGGGAAAGTGCACTCGGATAGTGAACAAATTGGTAGCGATAAGCTGAAAGCCTCTGCTGACACTCTGCAGGTGAAGCAGTGGGCGTATCGCAATTACTCCGCAGCTTACATGTGCTTGCATGGCTGTCATCCCCATCTGGGATTTAAGATATTTTTACTTTCTGCGACCCGGCAGGGAATTCGTTGACAATTATTATTATAATTGCTTGAGGACAATACGTATATATTCGAATAATATCAAATTATGAGTAGTATAAGACTAACAGGCAAATATATATATAAGTATTGCCTTCAAGAAGTTGTAATAATCATTGTTAATCAGTTCCTTTTCAACTACTAATAGGGACTCCTTGAGTAATGGATAAATGGGATATATAATTATATAAACTATCATCCTTGAGCATTCACCATTCTCACTTTTCTTTTCTGTATATGTATATCTAACGATAGTATATCCCGGCACTCAACTTCTATATATGGTAAAGGGGTTTTACGACTAACCGATAATAAAAGTTTTCCCAAAAATCTTGCTATATGGCATAAATAATTTTATAAACTATCATCCTTGAGCATTTACCAATTCAGATTCTCATTTTGTGTTTACCTAACTTCTGTATATATCTAACGAAAGTAAGTATATCGTCGGCAGTCCGACGATAGCCGTTCCTGGTTTCACATTTAATATGTATATTGTCTAGCCATAGCATACCCAATATGGAAGCGCCCTGATCTCGTGCGGCGCCCGTCAAGCTCTGCACGCGCTGCAAGAGACTCTCGCGCGACTTGGCCGGGCTGGTGGGCGCGCTCACGCCACGTGGCGGAGCCGGAGCCGCTGTCGGCGGTGCCTTGCCAGCGCCAAAGCTCAGCGACAGCTCCGGAGCGGCGCCGGCGGGCTGCGGCGGCAGTTGGCCCGGTGCCGGCGGCGGCGGCATGTTGGGTGGGCCGCCGGCCACAGGCGGCTTCGTTGGCTGGTCCTGAATAGGACGCGCAGCTGGCGGCAAGCTATTGGGATCGACATCGTCGACCTCGGAAGACAAGTCTCCCGAGCTGAATCTGCGCGCGTGTGGCGTGGATGTGGATTAGATGTTAGTGTTTGGGTGTGGTGTGATGGTTGTTGTTGTTGTTGTTGTTGTGATTATCGAAACCATTCGACCGGTAGACAAATGAAAGGTGCAGCGCAATTGAGTGAGAGAGCAAGATAGAAAGAGAGAGAGAAAGAGAAAGAAAGAGAGAGAGAGAGAGAGCGCACACACACAATTGGCGTGGCGTGACGCGGCGTGGGGAGGAGAGAAAATAGACAAACATATGAAATCTCAAATTAGTCTCGTCCAACCGAGGCCGCCCTTCCCGCTGAGGAAGGGGGCGTTTCCTTTTAAGGTCTTTACCTTCTCTTCAGGAAATTAACATTGGAAGTGAAGCTTGATTTAAACGACGAGAAATTCAGGGTGCTGCTTTTCGGTTCCTGTGCGGCACGCGAGCGAACGAAGCGGGGGGAGAGAGAGACAAAGTGGTTTAAAGTATTTTATTGAAACTTATTAAATAAGTGCTGCAAATTTTGGGCATTCAGTAAACGAATTGTTGCTGTTGCAGTGCATTGATTGACACATTGACTAACATATCGATCTAATACGTAAGCACTTTAATTGTATTGTTTATATATATGTATATAGTATATGTAGTATATTCAAGGCAAAACGTTTAAAGCGTTAACTTAAAATGCAATTAAAGACTTAGGCACACGGCTCTGGTCTGATCTGGTTGGGCTTTGACTCGGCAATTGGGTTGCCCGATTTCACCCCTGAGCGAGTGGCTCTTTGCATTTTAATTGCCGGCCCACGGGGCGTATACTTGTTGGTCACTTCGAATGGAAATTCACGCAGTGAAAGATGGTAAAAATCGTAAAACAGAGAGCAAACATGCGCTCGCAACACGACTCTCGCATTGAACGAGAACGCACTGTCGAATGGGGAGTCCCAATTTCAAATTTCATATGTCATCTCGTTGAGAACTCGATTAGTAAATTGTTCATAGATCATTTAATTGCTAGACTCTAGATGCGATGCGGGTGGGTCACTTACGGACTGCCAGCTGGTTTATGTGTGTTTACAGAGCATGAAATTGCAATGAGGGTTTGCAAATAGAATATATGCATATATTTTGTGTGGGTTCGATGGTCGAGCGGACGGAGTCAGAGTCGAGGTAAATGAAAATTAAAAGAAATTTCTGTTTAAATTGCGCTCGAAAGCAGAGAGTGAGTCTTAATGGAAAAATACTTGCACATGTGCATAACGAACATAAAAAGTAATTGCGTGGCAAAGGATAAGAGTAGAATGCCTGAAATTAAATTTAATTACGCGCAGCCTGGCAACAGGTGCCAAGCGCCAGTCCGCCGCGGTGCGGACAGTGCCTGCCGAATGCTAAGCAAGCGAGCCCATCGAGGGCTGCACTCTGCGTGTGCGTCCTTTGTGGACTCGAGTTGGCAGCAATAAATAAGAAAATATACAGAAGAAAATCAATGACGAATTTCAGTGGCGCCTTGTTCGGTCCGTCGAGCATGCCAAACACTTGTAGTCAAAGCGCTGCTCGGCCTTCTCATGCGGCTGGCCCCATTGAGCTCTATTTGCATTGCCTGTGCCCCTTGGGCCCAAGGCACTCGAAACTTTTCAAGCCGACATTGTGGGCCAACACACGCACAATAAGCAAATGGCCCACTCGGGCTTGTGTGGGCTCAAGCTTTAAAGGCATTTAAGCCAAACGTAAAAGCTGAACAACTAAATAATAAAAAACTGAAAAGCTAACCACAACAAAAAATGTGATGCAATTGCTGATGCAAGGCGTGGCATGATATAGGTGGGTGCATCTGTGTGAGTGTCAACGATATGAATGCATAGATATGAGCGATTCGAGAGCTCGGCCCTGCCTTACCGGTGGCGGGGCGCAGATTCGCCCACACCCAGCAGTTGCAATGGCGCTAATATTGACCGTGGACAACGATGGACCCGAACAGTTGGCCGGTCTTCAGTGGTTCAGTTCTCGGTGGCGCTGAGCAGCTCTGTGCACAGATGATATCTTCCGCGTGGTCTGTTGAGCCTCAGGAGTATCTCTGTCTCTCTCTTTTTCACCGACTGCTGTAATTAAAGAACAAAGAAATCGTATTGTAGTTTATCCACTCCGACTTTGGCTTTGTGACAGCAAAAACGAAACATTCAATTGTCAGGCAAACTCCATAAAGAAACAGGACAGACAGGACTCTCTGGTTGCCTTGTTCAGGACTCGCAGAACAAACCAACTGCATGACTGTCTGTCTGTCTATCTGTCTGACTGTCGTCTGTCTGTCTGTCTAGCTGCTGTTGCTGCGACCAACTCGTACGATTATTATTGTTGGTTCAATGCACTCGCCTGCCGCAAAATAGGCCAAAGTATACAGCAAAAACTGTATAACTGTGGCCCCTACAAAACTGAGAGTACGAAATAATTGCAGAGAAAATATATTGTACTTTTCACAAGACCAACAACTTTTCCTCGTGCTGAATGATTTATGACCCGACAATTTGTTTTCGTCATATCGTCGAACTCGCGTCTGCCAAGAAATTTAATTTGGAAACTGAAGAGCATTTTAGAGATACGAAGTTTTTCCTTTCGCTACTCAAATTTTAAGTACACAAATACTTGCTGTTGCTAAGCAAACGACTTTATTAGTTTAATAAGGACTTGATAAACAAAAGCTTAGAGACTCTTAGCCCACTAGACAGGATAAATTAAGTGGAAAATATACATTTTTGTTAGCCTCGCACTCTAACCTAATTCCATTACTTACATAAACAAACACCTATTTTTAAGCACCCCAATCCGGCCGCTTTTAACAACTTTATAATATTTTTTGCCACAGGCTCCAATGTAGAATGTGGAAGTAATTACATAAATATCTCGTATCGCGTTGTGTTCCTTTTTTTTATCTCATTATTTCGCATTTTGCTTTAGTCGCTTTCACTAAGTTCTTCCTTTCTCTTTGCCTTTTGAAGTTTTATTTAAGTTTATTCTCTTACTTGTAATCACTAATAATTATGTTTAAGATTCTTTAAAAAATATATTACAAATATCTTTAAATTTCCATTTTAATATGTATATTGTATATTGCATTAATGTCAAATAATATTTATTTATTGCATCATGGTTGAATAATATTATCGAGTAAATTTTTCTGTGAATTGGAGCAAAGCCGAGCGGTCATGCACATAAAATGCTCCCAGCCCATGTCCCATTTGGGGATTCTATTGAGACATGATTTCTCTGTATTTATTTAGGATATATTTGTGTTGATTTTTAATTCTATGCTGATACTCCTTTCGTTACACAGTATATGAATTTTATATATTTTTTTTGTCTATTTTAAACTTATATTTGTATGTAAATGTCCCAGGCATTAAATCGGATTATGAATTTGTCGATTTTTATGGAATTCTTACGACATGTACACACAAATTTAAACTTAAAATGTAAATAAAATAAAATCATAAATAGAATAAATAGAAATAAATACAGAGGTATTTATTTAATTTATAATGATTTTATATAATATTTTATTTATATATATACATAGATGTACATATATTCATTTCCATGTTTAGCACGGATATAAAAACAGTGCGTAGATTGACTCAATATAACGGACGAATCCACCCCATATCCACTACTCATTAAGTCCAGTTATTGATATTTTAAGGAGAAGAAACAGAAGCCTTAAAACTGACATAAGTTACCAATTGATTTGGTCTGGAGCTCATTAAAAATAAGTGAATAAGAAACAGAATACATTAGATCAACAAAAAATCACCTAAATAATTCATATTCCTATTTCATATTCTATATAAGAAAATTGCAAAAATGTAAAATGAACTTCCGTAAAATTATTTTCTTAAGCAGTGCATACTTTATTTAGTTCTGACTGCTTTATGTATTCTCTCAAAGGAAAGAAAATGCATTCACAATTTAATATTTATCTATTGTGAATCCACGCTAGAGCAAAGGAAAGCTCTGCACAAATCGAATTAATATACATATTTTATGAGCTTCCATTAAAGCAGAGCTCAATATAAATTATATATGAACTATAAATAAAATACATTGAAAGGCAAATATTGAGAAACACAAATAAAGTCATTTCACTTAAATAAATATTATAATCAAATAAATATAAGCTAAAAACTTGATTTTCCTTAAAGCTAAAACATAGAAATAAATCCTGACAATTATTGTGTTGGCCCACTTTCGTGGGCCTTCACTCAAAAAGCTTGAGTGAAGCTTAAGGTGTGCGTGCTACAAATTGACACAAAGGCCTTAGGCCTTCGCTGCTTGGTCTCTCCTATGTATGTCCTTGGCAGGCTCTAATGATATGTACATAAATTGAAATTCGTTAGACAGCGGAATTTGCACGGGAATGGGACTTGGAATTGCAAATATCAAATTTACTGGCTCATAAAATATGCATAAAGCTTGGATTCGGACAATGTAGGACTTGCATTTATGGCATAAGCTCGCATGATGGGCTATTTGAAGCTGGCGACATTACGCATACGCCATGTAGTTCGGCAATGGCGTCACTGGGTCTGCGCTGACGCTTATTTGTGCCACATTCGCGTGGGCGACTGACTCGACTCTGTGTGTGTGTGTGTGTGTGTGTGTGTGTGTGTGTGTGTGTGTGAAGCTGTGCAAGTGTTGACGTTGCTCCTTTGCCGCTGTGTGGCATTTGCCATTTCGATAGCAAGACAGACTCTCGCTCTCTCACTCTCACACTCCCTCTCCCGCTCTCGCTCTCCCTCACACTCGCACTCGCCTGTTTGGCTGCAAATGTCAAAGGTGACGGATGACTGTGCCAAATAAACTAAATCGGAAACGGAATGTGGTTGGTGGGCAGAGTAAACTGATATTGCTCGTGGATGTTTGCTGTTTAATGCAGCGTCTGAAATTATTTGTTGCACGCAAACTTTGGCCATGCTAAATATTGCACAGTGGATGATGAATCAGTGTGTTCATCTGTAGCCTTCGATGGCTTACATAACAGTTGAAGTCAAAGATTTTCATTGTTTTCCTTAGGGAAATTCCCATTTGTTGCATAGCCGGAATTTCTTAATTTTCTTTCGTAATTTCTAAGCTGTTGCCCTCACACACATACATATACACACGCACACAGACGAAATTTGATATCCTGACGCCAGCTCGTCTGCCGTGGCTCTGGTATGCGCAATTTGTAAAATTTCTGAACTCATAACCCGAGCTTAGCATTCCGACAACTTTTCCGTTAGTCAGCCGGGAATCTGTGCGCCAAGCTCCATTACAGCGTTTAGCTACTTGATGGCTGTCGATTGTGGCTCACAATCCATCAACGTCGACACGAGTGGGCAGTGCAGCTTAGCCTGTGACTCTGGCTCTGGCTCATATGAAACTTTTTCTCGACTCGCTGCATACAGTATAATAAATGACAGGAGGCAGTCGGTGAGGCAGGAGCTGTGGACTCATTATTGCTGTTGCCGCAAAAAGCAGTGAGGGGGGACGGGGGGCGAACGATTGCCGCAAACACCTGCAGCCACATCTAACCCATTTTCAGGTCGCATTTCCTTTCCTAACAGTTTAACTGGCACTTTGCGTTCGGGTCATGTGACCCGCTGGCTGAGCACGAAAACGAGCGCTTTAATGTGCTTTCAATGGTAATTAAAACACACAACTGACAACAAAAATGTGACACAAATGTGACAGAGGTCAAAGACTCGCAGCCCAAAAAAAAAAAAAAAAAAAAAAAAATGAAAGGAAAGCAACAGCAAAATGTGGCTTACGCAGGCAAGCCACAGCTATATATGTGTATATGTGTGTGTGTGTATCTACTATTTTTATCATTCATTTTTTAGGTTTGTTGGGATATCTGAACAAGATTACGATAAACCCTTGATTTTGTCTATTATATAAATTATAACTTAATTGGATAGCAAGTAGAGCTTCATTACACCCAATTATTCCTATTATTAGCCCTACATCAAATTTAGACTATCGACTCATTTAAACGTACCATCTCTTGCTATAGAGAACTTATATATATATATCTTCCGATAAGCCCAACTTAATATAAATATTATTCATTGCATACTTTCGGGCTGTCTCTATAAATTCTTCCCTCTGTTTACTGCTCTAATTAATATTTGCTCACTTGGCAATTAGCAAAGCGTATTATAAATGCACAAGCAACTCAGCCCCTCTTCTCGCTTTGTCAAGTGCTCCCCTCCACGCCCATTATTCCTTAACAGTGGGTTTGTGGGTTAGCAGGTTGACAATCCGTGGAGACGCAATCCAAACGCTTTAATCGCTCGGTGCTTTTTGTTTTGCGTCTAATTCAATAAAACGCCTCGGCCTCCGTCTCTGACTCGGACTCTGCCCCTGCTTTCAGCCTTTGCCTGGGGTTTGTTGTTACGGCGTCTGTCTACACTTATCATACACACACACACACACACACACACACATACACACACTAAGCTTAGTATAAAAGATACACGCACACGCTGCCCGTCTGACTGACTTAGTGATACAGAAATTTTTACCGTTTTTCGATTTTTGGCAGTTCCAAATTCCTTTGGGTTTGTGAGTCGCACCTTTTCTTAGCCGAACAGAGCAGAGGAATTCACACGGACTTTTTGTGGGTCTCGTAATGAAATGATTAAATTGTTGATGAAATAACGGAGTGAACGCTGTGGTTAAATTTAGTGATCAAAAAACGAAAAAATGATTTTTTTTTATTTTTTCAATTTTGTCATAAAATTTCGAGCGCACAGTGCAAAAAATAGCTGAACTATCAACGACGGTGATGAAATTTTCACTGAGCGTCGAGTCGAGTTGTTATATATTAATTTCCCACCAAAATGCTATGTGTAACGGTGTAAGAGAGTCGAATCACGAGAGAGAGACAGAGTAGCAATGAAAGAGAGCGAGATTTAAAAAATCTCAAGATGCAAACAACTGTTAAATGAAATGAATAAAACTTTTATTTGAATGTGAAGTTTTCCTTCTTTTTATCCAGCTTTTCATATTTCAAGTACTCTTTAGAGCTTATCAGTTTTATAACAATTTACATACAAGTTGTAAATATCCGTTATTTCTCTGGTGTTAATCAACACTGCTTCGCTTTTACACTCTCTGCGCTCTGTCACCCTCTAGGGGCTACGGCGCATGCGTCTGATAGTAAACCGACGGGAGTATCGATTCATTCAAGTTTTCTTACTAGCAACCACCGTCACGCACGCACAACTATACACACAGAAACGCGCACACACTCACACACACATGCAGTCACTCACTCACACGTGCTTTTATCAGCAGAGAGCGTAACGGTAACGCTATGAATGATAAAAGGCAAATTGGAGTGGCCGTGGCTCAATCATTTTTCAGCGATCTGGCAACACGCTGCCACCATGGCCAACAACAGATACGGATGAGATACCAAGCGAACGAAAGATGTGGCCAAAAAGCGAGACATGAAAAAATGTCTGTAGGTAAACACAAAACAACAAAAATAATAAAAACTAAAGCCAAAGCAAAGAGCGCAGAGAGCAGCGAACAGAGCGTAGAGCGTAGAGCGCACACAACAACAACAACAACAATAACGACAACTGACAGCAACTAAGCTCAATGCTAACTCAAGTTGGAGCTCGAGCATCTAGCGCTGCGAAGGCCCCACGCTCCCAGTTTCAGTCCCAACAAAACTCTCGAGCCGTAAAGTTGTTGCAAACGTGTCAGACGGAAGTTTCAGTTTTCGTTTCAGTTAAGCGCGTCGAACACTCTCGATATATTTAGCGATATACAAACAGTTATAAACAGTTATTATGTGAGTGCAGCTATGAAAACTCAAGTTTAACAAAACAAAAACTTGATATCTATTTAAATATTTCCAATAACAATAAAATCGCCCAAAAACTTGTTGCATAAACTTGTTTTCACGTGCTGCGCGCTAACAATATTTGCTGAAGAGCGCAAAAGCGCTGTGAGTGAATGCTCTGGCATTAGTTGAAGCACTTTGCATAAATCAACAACAACAACAACAACAAAACCATAAATATTTATATAAAATATAACAAATTGGCAAATTTCATGTGCAGTTAGGCAAAATAGTTTTAGGAAGCGATAAATGTTTATAAGAAACTTGCGCGAATAACTCTTCGCAGAGCTACGATCGGCGCTCTTAACTTGGCTTAGACTAAGCTGCATATTACTCTCTCTCTCTCTCTCTCTCTTCGTTGCGTGTTGTTTTAAGCCAAAAGTTAACAACTGTTGGCCAAATGCTATTTTTTTGACGTCCTATTGCATAAATTGATAAATTACAAAAACTTTAGCTAAAGTTTTTAGATGTTTGCGCTTGCTGTGAGCTGTTGATATTGTGGATCAGCAATTAAAACTATTATCAATTGTTCAAATATATATATGTATATATATTTATTGGCCAAAATATTTTTGATAGCCCATTATGGCATTGTATCACATTTTGTCACATACAATTCGCATTTTAACAATTTGGCTCAGGTTTTTTTTTTTGGTTTTTTTTTTATGACAATGCGATCTCATGACGTAAGCCCGCTCTCAGTCAAGTTTTTGTTTTCTGCGCGCCAATTCATTATTGGCATTTATTTGTTATTATTTATTCCGTAGCTTCAATTGGTATGCCATAAATTCATATGTATATCGCCTGAAAAAACTTGTTTCGCACACTAATTCTCATTGTTTCATTTGAAACGATTCGCGCAACTTTTTCCGTGAAAACAAGCAGCTTCATTTTAAATTTTAATTTTAATGCGCCGCTCCTACAGATCAATCAGGTCGGGGTCGCATTTAGTTAGCTAGAAAAAAAAAAAAAAAACACAGCAGAAAAAAAAAAACGCAACGTGAAATTGAAAATGAAATCGTGTACGTGAGCAGCAGATGCGTGGCTTGTGGCCCACATTGCAGCAGAAGTTTCACAGATCAGAAATCATATTAAAAGATTAGAAATATTAATGTGGACGGGCCCTTTTACACTTGTGTCACGTTTGCGCACTTGAAATTTCCTAGAAAGTTATGGCTAGAAAACCACAAAAATCTCGAAACGATCTGAACTGCAGCTGCGCCGCTGAAAGCGAGGCAATAAACCGCAGGAAATCGGCTGGGGCTGTGGCAGCTCTGGCGGCTATGGCGGCTATGGCGGCTATGGCGGCAGGGCAATTGTTAAAAGCTCGCATTGTTCTCGTCACACTGACTCATCGTCTGATGAGCATTTGAAAAATAACAACAGCAACAGCAACCACATCAATAGCAATGGCAATAGCAACAGCAACAGCAATAACAACTTGAATGAGTAATTTGCTATGAGCTGCAGCAGCTTTTAGTCGGCGGCTGCGTGAGGCGCATGAAATTTGCCATAATTTGCAATAACAATTTGTAGCGTGCTTGATCAACGACTTTTTGCAGTGGCCAAAAGGATACTCGACTCGCAGGGCGCCAGCAAACAAAAGACTTAGGCAACAAACGTGCCCCACAATGACAAGCCACCACACAAAGGAGGCGAGCGCCAGCCGTTCGAGCTGGGCGGCATTCTCGCTGCTCTTCAGCGCTCTGCTAGTCACACAGGTAAGCTAATAAGTCAACGCACACACCCAGGGGGGGTTATGGCAGAGGTGTCTCTCGCTGTGTGAGTAGAGGCAATTATAGCTAGTGAAATGGCGCGTAGTTTTCTTCCATTTCACTTTTCATTTGCATACAATACTGTTCTGACTGGGCCGGGCCTAAAAACGAGGTTAACAAAGGCCTCCGACATTAGCGCTGACCATTTTCATGGCGCACTCGTCGTTAACTCGTACAAACAACATTCGCTGCGGGCACGTGAATTTTCCACGGCAATTTTCCAGGCAAGACAAATTAATGAACTGTGGCTCTAGTCGCAGCTGCGCCAGTTGCTCAGTTGCTCAGTTACTAAGTTGCTCAGTTGCTCAGTTGCTCAGTTCTCCGGTTCCTCAGTTTATCAATAGAGAGGCGGCAATTCAAGCTTGTACTTATTTTTCACTTCCCAAATGTGCCACTGACCGAAATCTTAACTTTTACCAGACCAAGCCGAAGTTCTGTTCGCTGCTGGCCCTTCGGCCCTCTCTCCGCCCGGGGCCAATTTTCAATTGTTAGCTCTCGGCCGAGAAATGCTTTGATTTCGTTTTCGGCTTATGAAATGGCACAAATCTATTAAGGCGACAGCTGCAAAGGCTTGGCATCAATTGAAATTGGTCCAAGCCGGTCTTTAGGCAGCTGCAACAACGACGACCACTGCCGACTACAACTGCAGCTAGTCAGAGAAATCTGGGAGGAAAAGCAAGCGAAGCATTTACTCTGGACCGTTGGCCATTCTGCTGGGGCTGTGCTGACTGAAACTTTCAGTTTCTGCATATGCAAAGACAGATTGAAGTGAAGCAAGTATTTATCGATGTCAGCGGCCGCGTAAGAATGACATCATAAAGCACATGAGGCACATAACACACACACACACACGCAACGGCGCCCACGTGGGGCATCGGCAAGGCGTTTGGGCTTGGCTAAAAGCGCTGCCTACAACTAAATGCAAAGCAACAACAACAACAGCCACCAGCAGCAACAACAACAGCTATTTACCTTTTAGTTAGCTCGGGCTAATGCAAAACCCACAGAACCTTGAAGCAGAAACAACGGCAAACAAACGCAGCGAAGCAGCTTGATGAGCACGTTCATCATCGCGAAGATGCAGATAATGAGCATGATGGTGATTATGAGGATGCTGATGAAGGGCTTAATGCTCATTATGACAGCTTGTTTGCTAATGATGATTATAATATAAGTTTACCGACTTTTGTCTGCAATGGCTTTGAGGCTGCGTATACAAGCTTCACACACACACATACACACACACTCGCACGCACACATAAACACCCGAGTGGCTGCATGTTAAATATCTGTTAAAATTGAAAATGTTTAGCTGTCTTACGGTACTTTTGCTGTCGTTGCTGTTGTTGCTGCTTCGCCGCTTTGCTTTTCACACTCATTAAGCAACGGACAAACTTGCGTTTTCTGTTTTAAGCCACAAAAGGTTGTTCACACAACGGCCAAGAGATATTTGGACATGGCCAGCGAAAAACGTATTTAAAATGCGCCACGCATTTGCGACAACTATCGACCGTGTTATTAAATATAATTGTCGCCCCAATGTAAATACACTACAATTATTGACTTGCACATTAGCGAAGAATAGAGATATGTTGTTTTTGTTGTAGTTGTTGTCATTGTTACGGGCCATTAAAAAGCATTTCAATGTCATAGCTCAAAAAAATATGCTAATTTACGTAGAGACTCTCTCACAAACACACACACGCATATATTATTATACTGCATATGTATAAGTGTATATAATCACATATGAATAGCTATGCTATGCGTGTGTATTAGGCATGTCGTCATATTGTTCGAACTGCGAAAGGCAACCAAAATTCCAGACAAAAGCCATTTAAGATCTCGCGCATTTGGCCAGAAGTGACGCGGCTTGTGTGACCGCAAATAGCTGCAGCAGGTAGAGCCACTCCGATTTTGCATTATATATGCACAGATAGGTATATCTGTATTCAAATACACACACACACACCTACATACATATATTGTATATATATCAGCTGCCAACTAAAGTTAAACAAGCACGTGTCTTGCAAGTGTTAATTAAAGTGAAATATGTCTAAACGAATGAATATATATATATATATATATAGTTTTTATAATATCTATACATCTGTATGTATACATTCATTATATTATATATACAATCATTTAAGAATGTCGCACTTTTTTACCTGGCATATGATTCATTGTCTGCTTCACAGAAATCTTTTCTGAGTTCTCAGCAGTTCCGCTAACAAAAGACTTAGGCAACAAACTTGTTGGTTGTTTCAGATATGTTGATTGAAGCTCTTTCATCACAGGTTCTGTTCTTATTTATGTTTATGTGTGTCTCCAGAGCTGAGCAAACGGTAAAACACCAGAACAGCTAGGCATTCATAGAAATGCCGACCAGATCACAGTTGGGTTGGTTCTAGTCGTAGTTTATGGGACTTTTTTGGCATTTTCAGAATGCAAATAGTAGAATATTTGTGATGCACGGCATTATGCTCCAATTAACAGCCGGCCAGCCGGCTCGCCTGCTCGCCGGGTAGTCGTTTGGTGAGGTTCTCTTCGCATCCAATCATAACGCGACCGCAATATATTTTGTGTGCAATGAAGTGAGCTGCTCGAGGTGCAGCTCACCGGATTGTCATGTTGTCATACTCGTAGTGGAACTAACCGCCGGCTGGACTGGGCCAATTAGAAAAGCAACCAGTTTCTATGCCGCACGCAACCGCCACTGGGTTAGTAGTGTGTCGGCGTCTGGAGACGCTGCGACCAACACTGCGGCAGGTACAGGCACACCGATACAGCTACAGGTAGAGGTAGTGCTAGAGGCAGAGGTAGAGGTATGGGCCAGGAAGCGTTGTCCCATTAGATTGCCCAGCTGGGTGTGCTGCGCAGTTAGATGCCAACTGCTGGCCATAATTCTCACAGCACAAAAAAAAAGTAAGCAGAGACTGAAGCAAGAAAAAAGCGTGTTTATGTCATGTACCAACAAACTGGCCACAAAATCTATTGGCCTGTAGCATTCTGAGTTGACGCAATTTAACGCCGCGTTGATTTCGAGTGCAAATTATTTGTTTACTGGCCGCTCGCCAATTGCCCATTGCCAGTTGTCATTATTATTGCTGGCCTGTTGTTGCCTGTTGTCAGTCTAGCGTAAAAAAACATTGAAATATATGCAAAAGCTTTTCGCATATTGGGTCATCCGCAGCAGCAGCAGCAGGAGGAGTAAAGGCGGCAGTAGTTGGTTCTCAGCAGTGCGCCACTGGGAGAAAGTTCTTTCTTTTGTTTGGTTTTGGTTTTGGCTAGTCGACTTCATTATTTGATTAGCTTGCATTGTTAACGTTCAGTGCAGTGCGCACTGCTCTGCTTCTGCCTCTGCTCTTACCGCTCTTTTTTGGCCCTGTCACTCAACGCAGCTACAAATTGTGGTTGCCAATGATTTTTACTTTTCTTTTGTTGTTGCTGCTGTAGCTGTGGTAAAAGTGGGTATTATTTGAAACAAATGGAAAACCATTTGCCAGTTCTCATTTGTGAAATTTTCATGAGGCGAGCTGCTGCTCCGAGAGACATTTTTTTGACATTTCATGGCAGCAAGCTGAGGCGCCTGGAAAGTGGCGTTTATGAAAATTGCCCAGCGCTCGCGGGCATGTCGGAAAATGGAAAATGCTGTACAGCCCAGAGGCCCAACAATAGGTTTTTCGTGCTGAGCAAACAATCGCAAGCCATTAGGTAAGGAAAAGTAAAGAGTTTCAAGAATATTTCAAGAAATTCCAAACAAGCTGCAAATCGCTGAAATATCGAAAATAATGATGTCTAACTCTTATGCGATCACTTAGATCTTGATTAATGACAATTAAAGGGCCCCAAAAATCAATATGGAGCAATTATGACAAGAATTTGTCAGTTATTTTCCGGCTATATTGTTATTGGGTTAAGAGGGTTATGGCCGAGATAAATTCAATTAAAGGCAGCTTTCAAAACATTTTAGTCCATTTCTACTAGCAGCATGATGCCCTCAGATAATCGCCTTGGCCAAGAAAGTGCTGGCCATGCTCATAAGTGGCTGCATCTGATGGAAAACCCATTAAACGAACTTTTCTCCAGCTACTGTTAGGCTGGGACTGGAGCTGGAGCAGGGGCGGGAGCAGGGGCGAGAGCTGGGTCTCCGGGTACCAAGCCACTCGAAGAGCAACAATTAGTAAAACACATAAATAAGCAACAACTGTCGGCGGCACATGACATGTTCTATGGATTTTCTTCTGCTGCTGCTGTTGTTGTTGCTGTTGCTATTGTGTCTTCTTTTTTGTTGTCTTGTTGCTTTGTGCATCGGTTAACAGTAAGAAAAAGTTTGAAGACTTTTTCTTCACGGACAGCAGCACAAAAGGCCATAGACAAGTGCTTATTATTATATTAGTGCTACGACAGCGTAAAAGCCATACAATTGACCCCAGCATGTGTTGAACAGCGACGTCGACTGCGGCAGAGGGAGAGCCAACGGCACCAGCATCAGCAGCAGCCTCAGCCTCAGCCGCAGCCGCAGCAGCAGCAGGAGCCCCCATGCCAAGTTCGGGTCCAGGCCTAGGTCTAGGTCTGGGTCTGACTCGCGGAACGTGCATGCTGGGTACGTGCCATGAAATTAGCGCGTCAGCGCCAGAACATCAATGGACGAGCGCGCCAACAATAGAAATTTAATTGTAGCAAACGCCTCAATAATTGCAGCAGTCGGCTCTCATTATGTAAGCTGAGAGCAGCAGAGCACTGATCACTGGCCTGCGACTTCATTAGGCTCTCGGCCAGGCCCAAAATATTCGATGCTGCACATAAATACGGCCAACTGCGCGACTCTGCAGCCGCAATGTAATGTGATATGCGAGCGCTTAAACGGCAATTTATGCGCTGCCAGCTAAAATACCGTGACAATTTGCAATCAGCAGCAGCAGCCAGAGCCGCAACGGCAATATCTTGGCTCCGACTTGGGGACGGCGATACGCGAGTGGCCCGCACTGTGGCTGGCCGGTCTGGGGCTTTATGTTATAATTTACTTGGCAAGCTTTATTACTGCACGGCCGCATAGCGGAAATTCAAATGCACACAAAATATGTTAAGGCGCACACTGCCCACCCTCCCCTCAGCCTAACTCCTTCACTTCCCCTCGCCGTTCTGGAGGCCGTCTTTTGTTATGCACGAGTTTCGTTTTGCTTCTAACACAACTTGTTGTTGTTGTTGTTGTTGTTGTCGCTGTTGTTGTTTTACCGAGCTCAGCTTTAGCTTGAACATTAGCGAATTTATTTGGCAATCAGTCGAAAATATGCACAGCTGGCTGCAGTCGCCCATTCGCAGTTCAGACTCTGGCGATTGTATCGCTTAACAACTATTGCGCAATATGAATGTTTTTTTTCTTTTTTTTTGTTAAATAGGCAGTACAAGGAAACACACCCAAATGCTATTGCTATCTATGTGTGTGTGTGTGTGTGTGAAGTCTGGCCACAAGTTAACTTCAATTAGTTGTGCATTTAAGCTGCATGCATATTGTTATACTTTGCAGATGGCAAAAGTTTTTACGGATTTGTTATGGATTTTGTCACACTCTTCGAGACGAATATCTAAAAATATTATAAATACAATATTCATGTACTCGTACACCCATATACCCAGTATAGCAGTCGTTTGACCTTTATAGTTTTATTATTTTACTATTTGTGGTCCATTGGTCCATTTGGTTTCATTTGTCTAAAATCACATGGCTTCAGTTCAGCTTGATACTAGCTAAAATTGTCACTAAAGTTCAGAAGTATTTATATTATAATATAATCAATATAATTTATTGATCAGTTTTTCGTTATCCTTTTGTATTCTACCAAAGTTACATGCCAAAAAAAAAAAAATAATAATAATAATAATAATTTCGTCTTTTTATCTTAAACAAATAGTCTTCAACTAATTCTAACTGCGGTAGTCAGAATTTTTCAGCTGGTCGATAATCTATTTATCTTTAGTATTCATTCAATTGTATTTCTCTTTACTATAAACAATAAAATCCAGACTTCTGTTTTAGTTTAATCTCCATGTAATATAAAGATCAATAATATTGCATTTATAAATTATTTTACAAAGCACAATTTCTCTTATCTCTCAGCTAATGCCAGTATAAAATACGATGCACTACGGGGATATGAGATAAATACTTGTGTTCTATGCGCGAATTGCCTAACGTGGAATACCATATCTATAACAACAGTTATTACTGTTAAAAGAAATGTTTAAATAAAAGAAAAAATGTTGCAAAGATAAAGTTTTAAAATAAAATAAAAGAACTTTATGCAATACACGAATATCTAGTTTTATTCAATAAAATTGAATGAAATTTGTAAGAAACTAGAGCCATTTCCTATATAGATTCACAACTCATGAATACTTCATTTGCTCAATACGTCACAGTTTTCGAATAAGTTTAATTTTAAAGATCTGATGTAAAAGCTTGACGCATAAATATATTGCTACCCTACTCAAGTCCTGATAAATGCATTTTCTATTGATGTACATTTTAGGTACAGTCGGGTCTTGATAATTTGTAGCCCCGATAAATCCAAAATATCGATAAATTGAAATAAATTCTGTCCCCTTGAATAATTCTCGTTAATTCTAATTTCTGTGTCAATCGAAAACAATCTGATCCACTGTTTCGAATAATCGGGACTCGACTGTATTTCCTGCCTAATCTCTCTCATCTGAACTTCAAGTTTTGGGTCTTCATGATCTCACACGGCTATAAGAAATTGTTAATTTCAAGCTGTTTGTCTTTTGTTGTATTTCTGATTTCAGCACAGATTTCCAGCTCTTGTAAAGCTTCTTGCAGTTTTGTCATTCTTCAGCAGTTAATTGCCCTCAGTCTGGCCAAACTTTCTATTACTAATTGCACACATTTCTGTTCGTAATAGCAAATGGTTAAAGCCGCGTCAGAAGATTTTTGGTTTATGGCAACAACGTTTGACCCCTTGCAGCTAAATAAATTAGCTGTGGGCCGGTCTTAATGGGCCAGCCAGGCAGGCAACCCAGAGTCGGAGCAGCTCCAACTCCAACTCCAACTCCAACTCCAGCTGTGCGTGGCTGGGGCCGGCACTGATTTTGATACGATTTACATGCGCTGGGACCAAACAAGTTTGTGCTGCGAGTCTTTTGTTTCGCCCGTAATCGCCGGCCGAAAGGAATTTTATGAAAAATCACCCAAGTATCCTGCGGCTGCGGCTGCGGCTGCTGCTGCTGCTGCAACTCCAACTTCAACTCGGCAGCGGCTAATGACTGAGCACATGAGCCAGTCTAGATCCATCAAAATCAAAGCCTGGGCTCATTGGATTTAATGGTCGCCGCCGAGCTGGAGCTCTCGCTGTGGCGTGACTGACAGCGCAAGTGTCTAATTGTGATTTGAGAGTTTCGCTTTTTGTTGCCAGCATTTGCGATTTGGTTTGAACTTTTTGCTCATTTCAGTTTTGTTTTTGGAATTCGCTTGTGTGGAGAGCCAGCGACAATCAGAGCGTGTTGCATAATACAAAGGCCAACAGCTGGCAACAATTTTTGCTTTGCGACTTTAACAAGCCCAACGATAGCGAAACGAGCATGCAAAAACAATTTTAATTGACTAGCTCCGGCTGAGGCGGCTCTGCAGCTCTAGAGCTCTACAGCTCTACAGCTCTGCGGTCTTTGTAACTGAATGTAAAATGCAAAATTCATACAAAACAATTGCATTTTGTCAAGCGACAAATTGTCATGGGAGTTGCAGTTGCAGTTGTAAGTTGGATATAAAATTGGAATTGCATTTTTGCTACGTGCTGTATGCGACCCTCGAGCGTTGGCAGCGCGCATTGAACTGCGCCGCCAAAAGATCTACCTATATATATATACATATACAATATATACTTACATATATATATAGCTGGCATGCAGACAAAAGGCAGCGCAGAGCCTTTAGCTGGCCGCAGCTCTATAAATTCCTTTCGCGATGCAAAGTGGACGTTCTAGTTGGCATCAAGCGCCAAAGTAGCTTAGAAAGTGGCACACTGGCCAACATGTTTTTTTTTTTTGTGTTTTTTTGTTTTTGGCATAGACACAAGCTGCAGCAGCAAGAAAAAATTAGGTCGTTTCGCTGCTGCATTTCACTTGACGCACAGTAGCCCGCGCACTCTGGTTCTGTCTGAGTTGGAGTCGGAGTCGGACTCGGTGAAGTTTTAATGACTGGGCAGTTGGCACTGCCGAATGCATCTCGAGCGAATTTCTCTGGTCACCTTTCGAAAGTCAATAGACATAAATCAATGGGGCAGCAGGCATGTCGGGCGTAGGGAATTGTCTTTGGCATTTCTGTTAGACAGGCGCTGCCTGAGGGCCGACTCCCAAGAACGTGATCAGAAGTGGCCGAAAAGCCAAAAGCTAAAGGCAAGAATAAAGCCGAATCAAGCCGAATCAAGCGGAATCAAGCGGATTCGGTGCGATTGTCATGACATGACTTACTTAACTTTTGTGCTGCTTATCTAGCGCCTACGGTCTGGAGCTCTAGCTCCAGCTCCAGCTCCAGCTTAGCTTTGCCTTTTCAATTGGCTGGCACTGGAGCTGGAGCACAAATTCAATTATCACGACGACGCGATGGCAACCCAAGTCGAGAGCATGCCAATAAATTATCTTCAAGCCAAATGCCTTGACAGTGCGCGACTGGAGCTGGACCAGAAACTGGCCCAAAACGTGCAGGCCGCCAAAGAACTCAAACTGAAACTCAAATTCAAACATAGCCAAACGCGACTCGATGTGGCAGTGGGTCTAAGTAAGTTCCAAGCTTTCGAGTCGGCTGCCGCTGCCTCTTGCAATTAATTGCGACTTTTGCTGACTCTTTGGCTAGCCATTAAAATTAATTAGAATTCTCGTGTTCTTATGGCTTCCCATGCCTACCCAATGAGTTGGCGAAAAACTTCTTAGCAACATCTCAACTGCCGTGCGCGTTCCCAGGGTACCTAAAATGGGTCATAGTTATTAGCGAAACAAAGCCGAAACTCTAATAGCACTTTATTCTCATTCTCTCTCTCACTCTCTCACTCTCTCTGTCTCCTTTCACAGATTGCCGCCGCCCAGGACCCAGCGGCGACGCCCGGCGAGTTCGCCCCCCATGTTACGGCCACTTGCAAGGCGGGCACCATGAACATCAAGGTGAAGTTCAGTTCCGGCTACACAGGCGCCGTCCATGCGCGGGATCATCGCACACCGCCCTGCATGGCCATGGGCGACGGCAGCGACTCGGTCGCATTCAGCCTCAACCTCTGGGCCAAGCAGGGCGCGCCCGACTACTGCGGCATCTTGGTCAGCAACGTGAGTGGAAGCAATGTAAGCATAACCAATCAGCTTCCCTAACCACATTAACCAAACTAAGAATCTATATGAATTGCCAAGCATATTATTTATTACAGGACAAGATTTAAATCAAAATAGTTTTTAATTAGTTCACGTAGATCGCTCAGATCTCTTCAATTTTATTTAATTTCCTTATTCTTTTCGAGTCTTTAGCATTTTAAAACTCTCGCTGTTTGTGAATACAAATTTTATTTTATTATTGTCAACGACAAATTGATTCAGTTTATTGTCCTCGAATATGCCCAACTAGAAGATACCCTGTGCACATCTATTATTAACTAGGAGAAGGCATACGCACTTCTTGTATTATTAGACCTAAACTAGGTGAAGTCTTAGATGAAATACGTTCAATATATTATTAATGATTATAGATAAACTTAAAGGGTTTATCAGTGTGGATCGCCTATCTGTTTAACCTGCCCAAGAAGTTTTAATTCAGCGAAGTCATATTCGTAATTTTCAAAAAAGTAAATATATTTGTAATCTATGTCTATAAGCTTTTATTTTACTTAAACTAGTCGAGAATCAAAGTGAGCTTCAATCTGCGATATTCCTTCACTACATATCTTGGTAAAGTATAAAGAAGAACACTTTCGTTATATATATAACGAATATGATAGCTATGCTTGCCACTCTTAATGAGATATTTACTGTTAAATTTGAATGCTCTATCCTGAGGACCAATTAGCAATCGTTTTTTGTAAGCTTTTCACAAAATAATTTTTTATTTATTAAATGATACCGAATACAATTTAAATTTATTTATACCTGAAAAACACCTAGTCCAATGCAAACATTTTAGGGCTTGTCTGAAGAAATATAGAAAATATTCAACATTAACCGAAAATATAAATTATGCTGATGACGCGCAGTACATATGAGAATAATCCGATAGTTAGTGTATAAAGCCTTTATTCTTGATGAATTTAGAAACTTTTTCTCTATGTCTGAAGTACATACATATATTACATGTATAGAATATATTGTAAATATATTATTTAAAGATTCAGTAGTTACGACAGCTAGTTCTCTATATTTCATGAGACTGCCATGAATATCTTTCACCCATTAGTTACAGATAGGCAAAAAGATTCTTGGTATCCCGTCCATCTCAGACATAGATAAGATATTATGACCTTGGGAATACTTCTGTCAATAACTTCTTTGTACTAAATTTCAATAGAAAGAAACTATTAAAGAGTGACAAGAATATTAGATAGAAAATAAGATATCCCAATCACTATTTTTTGTGACTTCAGGTTACACTTATACTTGATCTACTTCGCCATGTGCTACAGTCAAAAGTTTTAACTCAAACCCCTTTTAGCTATAAAAAAACTGCATGTAGAAACCCATTTAATAAATATATAGGAAAGCACAATTATAGTTGTTATAAAGTGAAATAATAATAATAAGATATTGGGTATCGCTTAGTCGTGCGTGTCGTGTTGCTTTGCATGTGCTTAGCGCAAAGACCTTGTCACGGGCAAGGGCCGGGGCACGCATGTCCATAAATTTAAGTGAGTCTCGTATCTGGTGTACTTGGGTCTTAGCCCCAAATCAAGGCAAATCAGCAACAGCTGCGATGCAAGCGAAGCTTCGGCTTCGACGACGACGGCGACGGCGACGGCGTTGGCAACGTCGGGTAGTCGTCAGTCTATATAGTAACGATGGCCATAAAAATCAAGTTTAATCCTACGTGCATCACGGGCGTTGACAGGCGGCGGCTGCGTGTGGGTAAGCAGCCCCCAAGTCGAACAATGGCAGACAAAGGCAGCCGGAGCCCAGGCAGAGCCATTAGCATTAGCCAGCGCCATGTGTAAGTAGATACGCCAGATAGTATAAATATATATACATATGTGTATATATTTATATATATCTCTCTCTCTGTATGTGTGTGTCTATGAAGCGCTCATAATGCAAACATGTTGAAAAGTGTCGAAATGCAAATTATCAGCTTACGCGTCATGTTCAAAGTTTTGAGCACATGCGAGCGAGTACAACATTATTAATTGCAGTCCCAGTCCAGCCCTGTGTCCGAATTGTATAAATAAACCCTGTCTGGGGCACTCGCGGAATGCCTGGGCCGGCTTAGCTGACTTACCTGCATATGCATAGGTGTAGCACTGGAGCTTAGAGCTCTTGGCCCACCTTCCGTTTGCGGATCGAAAAAAAGGAGGGAGGTCCCCCATAAAATTAAATCACGCTTATCGCGACGGCAGCTTTAGTTTCATTCCGACTGCGCTGAGAATGCTGTGCCAGGGACAGGGCGAGGGTGGACAACTGAAACACTGAAGAACTGAACAACTGAGTGAGTGAGTGAATGAGTGAGTGAGGGACTGCGGCCTGGGAGTGGCGTCTAGCTGCGGCCTAGGCCGACAGCGCTACACATGCCCAGACAAGGGTTTCCACGCTTCAGCTTTGACAGCATTCCGGGCCGATGTTGTTCGAGTTGCGTTGTTCTCGTTGTTCTCGTTGTTCGGCGTGTGCGCGGTATTTGTGTCAAAAGAATTTTTTTCTTTTTTTTTTTTTTTTTTGTCTACTTAAAACTCTCGAGCAATTTTGATTCTATTTCTTGGCAAATATTTTCGTACGGCTTTAATTGCTTTCGAAATGCCGACTCGACTTTGGCTGACCTTGGCCCTGCACTCCAGAGACTGAAGCACAAGTAGATCCTTTCCCCTTGCCACAGCTCGGCTGCAGCGCCGTAATCTCTTTGATTTGGTTTGTTATGGCCTGAGCAAAGCCCTCGCCTGGCCGTACTTGGCAAAGCATGAAATTGCCGCTGACAATGGCAAGACGCCCAAGCCGCGGCAAGCCAACAATTTAACTCCGAGTTCAAGTTGTTATTGCTGAAGTTTGGCGTACTTGAACCCATTTCGTCGGCACGGCGAGTGGGCATGCCGCATGCGGCAGACTCGCAAATTGTTTGTCATTATTTTATTATGGGTGTTACGGCGAGTTCTCTGCTCTGCAACTCTGCAGCTCTGCAGCATTATTATAATCATCCAAATGTTAATTGCACAACACAGGCAGCAAATCTGACGCCAATTTAGCATTAAGTTATTCTTGAATTATTGCCTCACCTCAGAGCTGAGCGCTGTGCGCCATCTCATATGGAAAATTCATCGCAAGTAATTTTCTCAGCTCTAGCTCGGCTTTGATAATAACTTGATAATGAGCCCATCCGTTGCTGATGGCTGTGCCGGCTGTGCAGCTAGCCGTAAGCTGCTCGGCTGGTCTCGAGTCTGATGCACGAGCTGGCCAACAGATTGTGACACAAATGGCCAGGCTCGATCCGCAGCTGAATAGATATTATTTTGCAGCTGTGCCAGAGGTATTTATCGAGTGTTTATTTGCTAACAGCTTCTACTAATGCTGCAATAACTACTCACACACACACTACTACCCATGTATACATATACTTATCTATGTAGTTTCTTGAGTCATCAACTAAAAAGCACTGAGCCCAGTCAAAGCCGTAGCAGTAAGAAATTCATTCATAAGATGCTGATCACATTTGATACAGGCAGGCGTGGGACGTCAACCAGATAAATCAGAAATAAATAAATAATAAAATCATATCTTTTTTTTTATTATATACGATATATATACGAGATATGTAAGGGCATTAAGGTGCAACCGGTTTGTCAGCTGCGACAAGTAAAAATTGTGAATTAAACAAACTGAGGATGCTGTGCTTATTCGCATACATATGCAACTGCTATATAAGTTGGCCAGCTGTCTTTTCTTTTTTAGCAAGTTGTTTGCATTACTTAATCGCTGTCAATTGCGGGTCAAGGCTGCAGCTGACTCATCAGCTGATCGTTCGAATAATGGCAATAAGTAGCGCCGTTATGCAGAAGCTAAATGCTGACAGTTCAACACTTTTAATAACTCAGCCAGCTAGTTGCATAACCATGAGCAGCCATTAGAAGCAGTAAAAACAGAAAACCTGCACCAAGTTTCTCGCCTAAGTCTTTCGTTTTGTGCTCGCTGGCTGGCTGGCTGGCTGGTTACATGCGGCTGCACAATTAAAACGCTAAATTACATCAAATGCCAGCTCAGCCGCATTCGAAATGAAATGCAAACATGTTATTACCGAAATGTCTGCCAGAGTCACTGAGAGGCAGCCAACTCATTAAGTGGAGAGCGCAGCTATTAAAGCGGCTGCTGAGCATAAGATTCAATGAAGTTCAGGCCAATGCTAAGCATGGCCAAGAAAATTGTTAAATAAGATAAACAAACAACTGGAAAATATGTGTGTACTTAGACTCCAGTGTGGGCCACCTGGCTGACTGCGTTGGCTGACAGCGTCACACTTGGCGGCATTTTGCATTTCCTTGTTGTTGCTGGGCTGCAATTACATCATAATGACAATTAACGTGCCGCTAGTGCCACAGACTGCTGCAGCCGCATGCTCGTACATATGCTGTATTTAATAGCCAATAAGTCCCATCAAATCCAATGGGTACTAAGAGGCCAGAGCTTAACATAAATATGATCACTAAAAAGGCGCTCCCAACGCCTGCTCAGCTCAGTTTATTAACGCGCCATTTCAGACCCAATCAACATAAATGCTTTAATAACCACAACCCCTCTCTCTCTCTTCACTCTTTAGCGCACTGAGGAGCGTTCCATTCAGCTGGCGGTGCGTGTGCACAAGACTCTTGAACTGGCGGATGATAAATTTTATGTGATTACCTGTGGCAAATCGGGCTACTCTCGGTAAGTTTGACTACCTCAGCTGAAGCTGAACCTCTAGCTGTAGCTGTAGCTGTAGCTGTCTAGACAATTGCACTTACTACTGTTGACTGCTCGTATGTAGATGCTTGTAATTTGGCTAAGCTTCCGTCAGGCCAAAGTGCTTCGAGTGCTTGGAGTTTTGGCAGCGTTCGCCAATTTCAGATTATTTCACGAAACTCGTTTGCGGCGTCGGCGCAAAACAAATGAAATCAAAGATCGAATTATGCCGACTGATATAAATACATATAAATATATACATAATATATATACACATGGGTACTCGTAGGTGTTTGCCTTTCTATAGAACAATTTTTTTATTGATCTCTCTATAGACGAATCAGCGCTAAATAGAACTCAAGGCCATTAGCATTTGTTTCCATGGAATTCTATTCTGCTTTTGCACCCAAATTATTTCACCTGAACAACTGGCTCAAATGAACGGTAAATTATTTATGGTAGCTCTCTGAAAGATTACAATCTGTAGTTGAAGAAACAATTTAATTTGCCTTCGCCTCATTTGCATAATGCCAATGACTTTGCCACAATGCTGAATTGAGCAAGTTCGTTGCCTAAGTCTTTCGTTCAATTCAAATAGAAAAACAATTTAGAAAAAAATGTTTGCTTTGGCTAAAAAGCCAACAATTTCTGCAAATTGTTGCGCTCTGTTAACGGCACACAGGAAAACACGAGCCGAAAGCCAAAAGCAAATTAAATAAAAAATGAGCAAACAAACAACAAATTGTCAGAAATGCACAAAACGGGAAACAAGATAGTGAAAATGAAAACTATTCATATGATATGGTATATGCTGGTCGATGTCGATGTCGCTGTGGAGTTGCTGTCGATGCCCGTCTATTTGGCATAAAACGCAACTGTCTATAACGCAATGGCCGGCAATTGCATAATGCATAATGCATAATGAAACTGCAAGCGAGTCACAGTGGACTGCAGCTTTCGGGTCTATTGGCTGCGCTTTTAATTAGCCACTGCGCAATTGGGGAAGTCCACCTAGATAGCTATTAGCCAATGTGTCACATCCATTTCCATTTCCCTTCCCATTTCAACTTCCATTTCCATTCAAATTCACAGCGATGACAATGCCCATGTGGTTCTCAAGTTCCTGGAGAACGATCACCGCGTGCGGGAAACGGTCTACGGCCACAAGTACAAGATACGCGCCGAGTTCTCCAAGCCAAACGGTGGGTAATCAACACAGTCCGTCGACTCCCAACAGAGATCACTAATCAAGACTCCCTTCAATAATTAGATACCTATGGCCTGCGTGTGGGCAACTGCTTTGCCTTTGACAAGAAGAACATCACCCTGGAGCTGACAGACGATCGCGGGTAAGTGCAGCGCAGCCTTCCACTAGCCACTGTAACGGCAGCTAACGGTTTCTGTTTCATGCACAGCTGCCCCTATGATCCCAACCTTATGAGCCGCTTTGTGCCCACGATCGACGGCCGTGCGGCGGAGGCAACACTGGACTCCATGTTCAAGTTCCCCGAGGGTAGGTTGAAGCGTTATTGCCCCTGGACAAAGATCTTTATTATTACTCTCAAATTTATTGACAGGATCTGAGGTGCATCTGCAGTGCGATGTCGTTCAGTGCTATGGACGCTGCGTAGAGATCGACGATTGCAGTCAGGTGGCTCTGGCTGGCTTCACCAAGGGCAGCGGCAATGGCCCACGCAAGTTTGGCCCCAACGAGGAGGGCTCCAGCATTGCGGGCACAACGGTCTTCGTCTTAGATCCCGCCGAGGCGCGACGTAAGAAGAATTCAGAAAAGCTTACCCTGAAATGATCTGAAATTGACACTAAATTATTATTCAACTTGCAGTTATTTCATCAAATTGCGAGGATGGCATTCGACCCAGCTGGCTGCTGTGGCTGGCCATCACACTCGGAGTTCTGTTCCTCATCATGCTGCTAATGAACATTTTCCTCTGCACTGCCATGAGCTGTAGCTGCGCCAATACAGAGGTAGCTGTGGAGTCTCCTCTTTACAAATACAAGTAAAATATACCATCGTCTCTCTTGCAGATCATTGAGAAGGAGCCCTCGATCATTGAGGAATACGATCCTTATCGCAGCTGGCATGGCAGTCAGTATGGCTCCCGGTACTCGCTGCATGGCCGAGATGCGCACAAGGGCTATACTAGCGGTGGCTCGACGATACACTCAAATAGGTCTGATAGATATTAAGCTGATCTACAAACGACACACACACAAACACCAACACACACAGACACAAAGCTCTATTCTACACTTGATATGCATCTGCTCTGCTCTTCAATATTTTCTGGTAGCCAACACACACACACACAGACACAAACATATACATATATAAAGCATGTCTAAACAGCCTTGTACCGTATCTATGTATCGTAATTTGTTAAACTCGTATCTATTGTTAACTCTACTGAAGTCTACCCGCCCTGCTGGACAACATCTACAACAAAACAAAAACAAAAGAAAACAACTTGTGTTCACAAGCAAAAAGTTATGAATGAATCGAAGAATGAATCTATTTGTGCCTTGTATTGCAACTGTAATTAACCGTTGATAATTTGCATTTTCAAATTCAAATTATGACTAACTTTAACTTTAGATCTTTGAGTTTCCATTGGTCCACACCCGAAAACACTAACCGTCCTGCTCAATCAATATTTGCTAACTAAACTGTTCAGATTCTCCACTGAAATATGCCACATACATATATATACAAACATATATATTATAATTAACTATTGATTTTGCATTGAACTTATCAACGTACTACTTCGAAGGTCTATTCCAATTGATAACGATTATGCAATTGTACATTCCCGACCCGGCTCTAGACATTCATCCACGTTGCATGGACAGCGTGCACACCGCGGACCGCCCAGTAATATATGAGATCCTAATGCTTAAGTCAAAAATGTGACAGTTTTTTTTTTAATGTTTAACATAGTTTAGTTATTGCCCACTTCAAATAAGTCTCAAATGTACATAACTCGAAATATTACAACTCTCTGTCAACTCTATTCTAAATTCTTCGATGAATCTGATTTCGCTGTAAAATACTAAACGAAAAAACAAAAACAAAAACCTTATATCATTAAAACTTTCCTAATATTTAAATAACAATTAAACATAAGTCATTAGTCTGTCATAAGTTCGATTGAATGTGTACGAGTTTAAGTGAAGAGTTTTATTTTAATATGAAAGTCCAGAAAAAGAAAACTATGAAAAATCACTAATTCGAAACGCAACAACTTTCTATGAGTTGTCCAAAAAATTGAAGCGAATTTCTGAAATTTCGTTAAAAGTAAAACTTACGAATTGTAATTAATTAATTTAAAATAAAATATAAATTTAAATAAAATCTTTTATTAAATGAGATAATAAAGTAACAAAACTTAAAAACTTTGTGTTTTTCATTTATTATAATTTTAATTATTTATTATGGATAACTGACTAAAATCGGTTTTTATATCTCTATACATTACATGAAGCAAAAAGAACAGGTATATCTATATAAATTCATGAATAATAATTAATTAATATGTTAAATAATTTGGATATTTAAACAAGCTCTAGTCGAGACTGATTCACTATAATATGACCTGAGGCATCCAAGAACTGATAACCCACTCGCTCTTTTTATTTTTTTCAAATTGGGGGGATTTGGAGCTGGTTCCAAAATATAACAAAAGTCGAAAATGTATAACACACACATGAATCTATATACAAAGTTTGGAAACCCTAACCTCGATTAGAGAAACAAGTTTATAAAAGAAGAAAGAAAACTACAAATTTTTTCCAATGACTTTTAATGAATATGCAAGGACATCAATGCTACAAAATGTTTAAGATAACTTAAGAGATAATATTTGGAATGCGATTACTACTAAGAAATTATGAATACGCGGAAAATTTGAAATCAATAGCAAAATAAGAAGATTGTGATTTTCCGTTGGAGCCCGTTCCTTAAGTAGACGAAAAAATATTAAACAGATAAATATTAGGAACGATTATGTCTTCAAGGTAAGCAATATTTATTGTGTATGATGAGTCTGATCTATGTATACAATGTACATAGGTGAAAACAATTGTAATATCCCTAAAAGTATACAGCATTTTACACAGGTAAACTGCAATCATAATTGACCGTTCATTTTGTGTAGCTTACCTGCTTTAATGACTTTGAAACCCAAGAAAAAAGGTTTTTATATTTTACAAACTGGGAAAATGGAGTTTTGTAGCCTATGCTAAATGTCATATGGTGGAATTCTACCTTTGTAAAAGATGGTAAAAATGGCTTTCGAAAACATAACATTTTAAATATTAAATAAATACATTTATATTGAAGAGCTAATGTCAGATAAACTTATCAGCTTTTCAGATTCTATACAATATATAAAGGTCATAATAATTATCAAGATGAAGTTCATTAAAGTAAATAATTAACCAAATAATTAATTATTTATTACACCAATCATTCATTAACCAAAAGTTGATATAAGGGTATGTTGCTTTGTGTTAAAATATAAATAGGTATACTAGCATTTTAAAGATTGTTATCAGGTCCTTTTATTATCGTATTATTTATTTGATTTATTACAGATTAGAATTAATATGATATTAAAACTGCTGAAAGCCTAAGCACTAGCAACTGAGGACCTCGGCTGGTTTAGCTTTAATATAACCGGTTGCTAAGCCACATCAAGAATGAAGAGAAAACATGAGATATTTGAGCGAATTTCAGCGCCTACCACCAACCGTGCCAAATCCCACCCTGTGCTTGGCTTATCGCCATTCTGCGCTCACAGCCAGTAGCGCTCTCTCTATCGTTCTCTCTCTTTCTGTCTCGTTGCCAGCTACATTGTCGTAGGTATGGCACAGCTGCCGGCAAAGTGTTCCCAGCTCTGTTGGCATTTTCGCAATGTAGTTTCAGTCTGAATTGGTCGGTCGTTGAGCGTGGAAGTGCTCAGAGTGCGAGAGAGAACGGGCAACGGGCACAGAGCGCGATTTGTTTGAATGACTGGTACGTTTACGTTCGCGTCCATTTCTATGTGATTGTGTGTGTCTGTGCGCGTATGTGTGTGTGTGGGTGAAGAATAACAACACCGATATCGAAATAGTGAAGCACAAAGGCCAAGCAAAGAAAGAAACACCAAAACACAACAATAACAACGGTAGCCAAGAGTCAGCGTCAGCGTCAGCGTCTTGTATTTTTTTTTTTTTTCGTTCCTTTATTTTGGTGAGTTTGAGGTGGAGTTGCTATTGCTATTGCTGTTCATTCCTCGTGTGCCTGGGTCAGTTTTGTTGCCTTTTTCACGTGACTGGCGCTGTAAATTAAAGTTACAATTTGCATCAGTGTTAGTTGGGAGCAGTCAGTGCTCATGACGTGATTTAATAACTGTGCAAACAATCCGCCAACTCAAACATCTAACCCGTACTTAATCTCTGTACGTCAGCGCCGCGTGACTCTCAAATTGCATCCGGTTGATGCTTGGCGTAGTGCGAAGCGAATCGATTTCAACTCACCTAACACAATGTTGGCAATCTTAAGAGAACTGTGCATAATCTTCCAAACTCCCCACAGTAATGTGTATTAAATATTACTTCTATTTGCGTAAATGCCGACTGCACTATATGAGTGAAGGTGTCTCAAATGTGTGGGGTCTGTGTTTTTGTTTCTGTGTGTGTGTGTAGGTCCACTGCACGCATTGTGAGTCATCCGCGCTGGTCAATATGCAATCTCAGCACAAATTACTCCAACACATAGAAGTTTATTTTTAACCCTTGGCACTCTCGCATGCGAATTTTGACTAGACGACGCCAGCGACGCTCGTAATGAATTTTAAAGTGCACCGCGGCTATAAATACCAAATTTGTCAACAAAAAAAGAGCTCACAATATAATATCAAATAAAAATACAAAAAATGATTTAAATGCTGCTCGGGTGCGCTCAGTTGTCAGCAAGTTCATCAAAAGGCAAATGGCAATAAAAATATCATTATGTAAAAACCTTTGCCTTCTACTAATGCCTGTACATAGATGGGCGTATATATATGTATGTGTATGTGTGTGTGCGTGTGAGTGTATGTGCGTGTGCATCAGTGCTCGTGTTTTTCTGTAAATATGTACTAGTTGAAGCGGGCATACTAAATATATTTAGAGACTCGGCGATCTGGCCGCAGACGCTTACTTTTTGCATTAAATGTCATTAACCTCGAGGAATCGGCGAATCGACGGATCGACGGATCGACGAAGCGAGTTCGAATGTTGTCATTCGCATTGAAATGACGTGAATACAAACTTCTCATTTATTCAAATGATAACAATTTTCACGTGACTGACTTGACATGATAATTTGATTTTATGCGCCATTTGCTTTTCCAGTGCCATAAAGCACTTGCTCTAAACGGGTTTGTTATATAAGCCACGAAACAGTTGTAGAACAGAACAAGAGTTCAACACATATATCATACATATATATATATGCTTGTAGCTGATGACACAATTATCGATGGAATCTGCAATGGAGCACTTTATTTTTGAGTGTCTCTTGCAGTTGCAGCCATCGAATTGAGTAAACAATAATAAATAAGGTCAGTTTTCACATTATGTGTAAAAGTGATTTGTAATAATAAAAGCTCTTTGTTGTCATTCGATAAGTCGCATTCATTGAGCGTGAAGGAAAGGAATGCATGAATGCAGTTAGAAATATAAATCAAGAATGCTAAGCACACAGATACCCTGCAATCTAATTAGAGATGTTGTGCCATCATATAAACAATTACGAAATATTTAACATATAGTAGTAGTTCTTCTGCTCTACATTAAAATGCCCTATAAATCTACTTTGCATTAAACTTTAGATTTAGGTTTTTCAGTATTCTGCATACTTTTCTCTCATATATAAAATCTAGTTTGCATTAAAGTTTGTATAGGTTTTTCAGTATTCTTATATATGTATGTTTTATAGTGCACTAGTGATAGAGTTCTTTCAGCCGATTTGATATACGCCAAGCACTATGATTCATGTAATCATGGAATACTACAGTATATTATGGAAGCTATTGTCGTTCCCCGATATACCCTGTTATACAAAATATATCCATGTTTTTTAATGCCATTCGATACGCTGCATTCATTCAGAATTAAATATCAAATGCAGTTAAGCACTGAAATACCCTCTAAGTGTTCTGATACCTCTTAATTCAGTTATGGATATACATGAGCTAAAATATATATGCATATATGTATATACACTGCGCGTCATCAGGTTAGCGCCCCCCTTTACACTCAACCTCAAAGCTAAATAAAATCTAAACCAGCAGAGCTCCATCTTTGAAATTTTTTTACAATATACTCCATTTATTTCTCTTTAAAATACAAAAAGAATGGCTACTGTAACAATAAGGATTATTTTTAAATAATTTTTTTTGTAAAATGTACAAAAAACATGTAACAAAAATTTGGTCATCAGATTAGCGCCCCCTGCGCTAAATTCAATTTATTTAAGTTAATTACCAAAAATAACACCTGTATTTTAAGCTATTGTTATTTTTAAGTAATATTAGTAGTGCGTAGTGCCGTTTTTGTTTGAAATTACTTTAAAAATTCGATTAGGAATGGAATTATAAAGTTGTTCAATATTATTCAAGGATATGGTTGATTAAGCGTGGTCAGTACCTTCGATTAACTCTGTCTTTGTACTATAATGCTTTCCGGACTCATATACTTTCCTGACCAACCATCCCCAGACGTTTCCAATGATATTAAGGTCGAGTGAGTATGGTGGCCACTCCATGAGATCAATTTTTTGGCCCTGAATCCAGGACTTCAGAGATCGGGCGGTCTGAATTGAGGCATTATCATGCTGGAAAATCTAATGCCGGTTTTCAGACAGGTTATAGAAATGCGGAACAGCAGTTTTAAACACGATATTATGGTCTTATGCGTTCATGCGCGATGTCAAAAATTGAAGCTTGCAAGTGCTGTAGTAAGATATTGATACCTACACAAATGCCACACCACCCCCCCGCCGCAGCGGCTTGGAAACCATTCCAAATAATGTTCTTCTATGAGTAGGTCATGGATATAATAATTATATCCATCAGTTCCTTCCAAATTCAATTTTTCTCATCAGAAAAGACAACATGCTGCCATTGGGTAGACCACGTCATATTCGCCCGGCCAAAATTAATGCGTATTTCTTTTCTCAGCATATCGACTGGTGTCTTTTTTTTTACATTCTGTTTCTTTAAGTAATTAACTTTCTTAATTGCTCTTTAGACCGTTGATAAGCTCGTCCTAACACTGATTTTAACCCTAATCTTGGTGGTCGATTCGTGGGAATTCAAAGCTTCTCGAACTAATGCTCTTCTATTTCCTTCTGAAATCACTTGATTATTGCCGCTTATATAGTTTTTTCCATAGTTTTCCCTATTTGTAAGAAAATTGCCACTTAGTTTTGTGTTTTTTCCTGATTTTTCAGCAATTTTATGGTTGCATAGTCTAGATTCAAAGTATGCCTCAATCTTTGATTTTCAACCAAAGATAAAACTGTTTCTTTACCCATACTATAAATATATTGAATACTTTGAGCTTCACAAAAAATTTGGTGAGTGTAATTGCCAAAATAAGCAAGATAATTACAATTGCATTTGGGGGCGCTAATCTGATGACGCAAAATAAGTGCACACATTTTTTGCGAAAATAGAGCAGAATAGAAAATAAAACATAACGGGTTTTCACTCGCGCTTTTTTTTGGTATGAGAGACATCTCATATGATGATAATGAAATAAAAAAAAAAACCAAGAAGTTACGTGCAATAGGCAAAGAGAAAAACGTAAAAGAAAATGAGTGTAAGGGGGGGCGCTAACCTGATGACGCGAAGTGTATATATTGTATATGTATGACCCAATTGACACAATCTCGATTTATTACCATTGTGTGCGAATCTTGTATCAGAGTTCTTCTTCTTCTCGGAACTCGTTCTTTGTTTCATTCGCAAGGAAACGCCAGTTATACAAGAGTCAAGTGAGTCATTTGCTTATCACAGACATATTCATAATACGCTCGCGCCTAGCATACGCATGTTATTTATGTACAAATTAATACCCTAAATACCCACTAATCAGAGTTGATCACGCTGGCAAATCGAACACACACGCATTTCGTGATCCAGTTAAGTATATAGCATATCAGATACGCTGCCGCGTAATCAACAGCCAGCTTCAATATATATGATTATTAGTATTATGACTGCGTCAATATTTTGATTTGTTTCTGATTTATGAGTTTGGAAACCAAATAAATAATAATAATGCTAGAAGGGCTGGTTTTCTGTCTTTGTGTACCTCCAATTCCATTCGTAATACAAGTCAACGGATGATGTCATGATCCATCCAGACCTAAAACCAAAAGCCCGGCTCACACTCACACTTACACACACACACACACACGTACACTGAATTTTTTAAAGTGCTGAGCTCAGCTCTTGCTGCTGTCTATGTCGATCATTAGCTCACCGGTTGGCGAAATACCTCTATTTATTTGTTCTCTTCCATACGGAAATTCATCCACTCGCTCTGCTCACTGGTTTTCTGACTTTTCCCACTCGTAGTCGTAGCTATGAGCTCATCTTTGATCACCATTGCGTACACCATTCGCGTTCTTCTCGCCATATGCGTATATACTCAAATTTCTATATACGTACTTAAAATACCATTAAATAGAGCTAATATTTAGGGTGACCTAAGCATTCGTGCTCGGCATTGGCGTACCCTATAAAAACAATCATGGCTGTAAAATCATATTTTGGAAAATCTAATGAAAACTCTATCTCAACTGCGAATCGAGTGTTCAACTGGTGGTTTACCAATGAATATAAGGATTTCAATGATGATACATACGGCATTAAATTAAAATCTATTATTATAAAGACAGACATATTTTCAAAGTTTCTATTTTATGCCGTGAATAAAACAACAAACTGGGCATGCGGTTCCTATTATACTTTAATACTTATCTAATAACTACAGAGTATAAATACTGTAACCTTAGCCTTGACGGGAAATCGAACTCTTTGATTCTTACTTAAAAGTTAAATGCATGCCCTTGCCTTTTTAATAAATACAGGGTATCAGAGCTATAGAATGTCGGCGACATCTTACGATTCGAATTCCAGCTCGTCTATTTGCACTGCCAGTAGCTGACCCTCGGTATTGTTGCACCATCAATGGCATCGCCCACACGCGATCTGTCAGTGCTAAACTTGCGTCAATTTCTATCACATGTACAAATATGATATATACACATACATATACCTATATCGACACTTTGGATGAGCTTGGATATACCCTATGGCTGCCTACAATTTGTTAAATTGCTGCAATTAATTTAATCAGCCTGTAACTGTTGCCTTCTGAAATGTTAAATAAAATGCAATGCATGCAGCTCGTTTGTGTGTTCCGCGTTTTTAATGTCGCATGTTTAATTGACTTTTAGCTGGAAATATCGATTTGTTGACTTTCAAATGCATTATTATCGTGGCTGTTGCCATGGTTAGAGACGCCCTAAAAACAACAGGTGCTGTTGTTAATTGCGAGTTATATAAGAATTATAAATCTAGACTTGTTCGCTTTGATTTTGGATCTCTTTAATAAAATACATAATACATATATCTATTGTTTCGCTCAGAGACGCTTCCTGCTGGCTACGCCCCAATGAAACACCAGCAACATGTGCATCGATCAAATTCGCAAAGTGTGATAAAGACAACCAAGTGACTTAAAGAACAAAAGCTGAAATCTCAACTGCAAATATACACATATATAATAAGCCAATTAGAGACAAGCTGCGAAAATGACAATAACATATACAGGTGAAGTGGCCACATGCCGTGGCTTTGGCTGTTTTCTCAAACTGCTGCTCAGGTAAGTGATCAAAGTTATATATATGTATAAGATATAATGTATATATATAAATATATACGTAAGCTACTGATTCGTATTCACTGAGCTAAAAGACTTTTACGACAGTTTTTGTTGATTACTTTTTGTTCTTTTATCAATTAAATTGCCAAGATCTTTGATAACCAGCAGAAAAAGAAAGTATTAAATGATTTTATTGGTTAATGCTTTCGGCAATATTTCCTCAGATCAGCGCAAAACTTGTTTGGAAAGTTGCTTAGACAAATTGCTAAAATATATATAATTCAGTAATTTTGTGAGTTCCCCTTTCCATGGTAGAAAATTAGTTACAAAGGTTTGAATTAGGTTGATCAAGTTATATAAAGAATTTTATAAATCACACAACTCGAATCCGAATTAGAAACCAGAAGAGCTTTATCTAATCTTCTTTATTATTATTTATAACTTGAATCTACAGCAAAAGAGTTTGCAAAAGTATTAGCTGAGCCTTGATTCCTAAATTCTGTTGGTCTGTGTAACACGTACACACACTTTCAATTAAAAAGTTTCCCTTATACACGAAAGCAACAGCTGTTCCATTCAATTATTTGTTGAACCGATTTATTAGCCGATCAAGCAAAATAAACTTTAGATTACAAGCTTGCAATATGGAATATGAAATGAAATTAAGTAAGAAAAGAAAACCAATATTAGCTTAGTTAGGGCAAGGCCGCGTAACACACGCCTTCAAGTTCCCATATCATGCGCAAAACAAGCTATATTCTACGAATTACAGTGCTAAATGCGAAGCGTGTAAAAAATTGCAAGTCCAGTGCTAATTAAAGAACTGACACAGTTCGCTCCAGCTCGGCAATTGAGCAAGTGACAGTCGTCAGGCGACAGCCGACAATTGCAACTAATGCAAATAATAGAATTTTCCATGCACACACAGCGTACAGCGGGTATTAGATTGTAGTTCCGCTGATACCAGCAACAACTCCACCCACACCAGATGCCCCTGCCACTGCCCCTACCACTGCCCTTGCCACTGATACTATTACTGATACTGATATACATCCCTATTTACATAAACAGTGACTGCTGCAGTGTTATCTTGGCCACATTTGACATCTGTCATGCGTGTAATTTGAATTAGAATTTAATAATTGGCAGCAAGTGCTGCTAGCCATATCTATGAGCATGTATGTATGTAAACCTGTGTATGTACATATATGACACATACGGTCTAGTAGCTGATAGTTGATTTACTTGAATGATCCGCTGATAGTGTCAGCTGGCATGATTGCCTCTGCTAATCAATGAACCATCCAGCCTAGATTGATGATAAACCAATTTCGCTAATTTAATGCATTATGCACTTGATATATGTTTGCAAAGAATTAAAAGAAATCAAGCCAATGCTAAATTGCCAAGTTGGTCTTCATTTTAGATTAATTCTTATCTCTTAAAAATAACAAAAAAAAATATAGCGAAATTGATCGCAACTTTATATAATTTATAGCAGCTTGTAAACATATACCCTGTAAAGTTTTTTGAACTCAACTCAAAATTGAATTAAATTTATCAGCTGGGACAGACCTTGAAATCTTTGTGGCTAACTGATAAAAGTTAAAAATTTTGTTTGTCATTTGCTTATGATAAATGATTACGTGTTTGCTTTTGGTGTTTTTATCACAGAAATATTTGATAAGAATTTACTTTATAATTAGCGGGCTTTTCATTTCAAATAATGGCTGGAACATTTTCAAATTTATATAGTATACATATAGCATATAGATAGACCAATTTTTATGACGTTTCGACGGTGGCATGATTATGGCCCAATATCAGGCCAATGACGTTGACAGCTAAAGGAATATTGGTAAACACATGCCAGACTCTGTGCCGCACATTATTAAAATAGAAGCTTACGTTCGATTAGTGGGACCCAATAGGGTCCATAAATGATGGAATTTGAGTAGCGTTACTAAGAATCAACCACTCTGTAGATCTATTTATAAATATGACTTGATATGTTTGTGTTTTCTTGTAGGTGGCGCGGAAGTATTTACAAATTAGTCTGGCTGGATCTGTTGGCCTTCCTCACATTATATTATCTACTTAATCTGGTCTATCGGTTTGCGCTCAACGAGGCCCAGAAAGAGTAAGTGAAGCTTGAATGTTTACACTAGTGCACATACTTATTGTAGTCTATTTGCCATGTAGAACCTTTGAGGCGATCGTCGCCTATTGTAATAGTTATCGTGATCTCATACCGCTGTCTTTTGTGCTGGGTTTCTATGTATCCATTGTGATGACTCGCTGGTGGAATCAGTACACTTCCATCCCCTGGCCGGATCCCATCGCCGTCTTCGTCAGCTCCAATGTGCACGGCCAGGACGAGCGTGGTCGGGTCATGCGTCGCACGATCATGCGCTATGTGTGCCTCTGCCTCACCATGGTGCTGGCCAATGTGTCGCCGCGCGTCAAGAAACGATTCCCCGGCCTCAACAATCTGGTGGAGGCGGGTCTGCTCAACGAGAACGAGCGCACCATCATTGAGACGATGAACAAATCATTTCCCAGGCCCTCCAAGCACTGGCTGCCCATTGTCTGGGCGGCGAGCATCATTACGCGAGCAAGGAAGGAGGTAATAATAGCAAGGATAACATTATGAGATGTGTTAATTTATAAATATTATATATCTATGCATGCATATGTAGGGCCGCATAAGGGACGATTTTGCTGTGAAGACTATCATCGATGAGCTGAACAAGTTCCGAGGACAGTGCGGACTACTGATTAGCTATGATACGATCAGTGTGCCCCTGGTTTACACCCAGGTAGTTACGCTAGCCGTATACTCATATTTCCTTACCTGCTGCATGGGTCAGCAGTGGACAGATGGCAAAGTCGTCGGCGGCAGCAGCTACCTGAACAAGGTGGATTTGTATTTCCCAGTGTTCACCACGCTGCAGTTCTTCTTCTACATGGGGTGGCTGAAGGTGGCCGAGTCCCTGATCAATCCCTTTGGCGAGGACGACGACGACTTTGAGGTAGATCGATCTTCTGAGGTGTTCAATCATGTGATAACTGATCTAATCCTTAGGTCAATTGGATGGTGGATCGCAATTTGCAAGTTTCGTATTTAATTGTAGATGAAATGCACCATGATCATCCGGAGCTACTGAAGGATCAGTACTGGGACGAGGTGTTCCCCAACGAGCTGCCCTACACCATCGCTGCGGAACGCTTCCGTGAGAATCATCCGGAGCCCTCGACTGCCAAAATCGATGTGCCCAAGAACGCGGCCATGCCCTCGGGCATGTCATCTGTGCGAATCGATGAAATGGTTGGTAACAATGGCAGCGTCGCCTCTGGGTCGAAGCCGACTGCAACTGAGCAGCCGTCGCAAGGGGCAACCAATCAGACAGTTACTTATGACCTTTCCAAGGCTGCACCAGACGAGGAGGTTAGAATCAAAACGTTGGCAGCATTCACTAGCGATTCGAAGTATTGGCACCAACTAATCGGCTATCTTAACTAAATGTACATTCATGGCGTGGCGGATAACTCAATTTAAAACAAAACAAAAACAAACAAATTAACCAAAACAATAATCAAATATGAAAGTATTTTCTAACCATCTTCTGTAATGACCTGAAATATGTATTTCATATGGGATTCAAGTCGATCATTGGCATTTCAAATCACAACGGTGCTTGGTAGTTATAGCTAAGACTTACTTAAGAGTTGAAAGATATACGATTGAAAGCTCTAATGAAATGAACAGTGGATTCTATGAATACTGAAATATTTTGTTATATGGCTATCAAAGTTGTGATGACGAAACCTGCTATAGAACAGATTAAGGTTCATATGGAGTCCACTGAGCATTATCACTAACCTAGTTGTAACTCTATTGTGGTGTTTGTGTGATTGTTCTATAAACTATAAGACTGCATACTAACTTTTGATTCTAACAATAATCTGTTTGCCTACAGCCTCTAACTGCACTACGCTCTGCACGGCTTTCGGTTGCTTTAGTGCACCCCAGAACGAAATTTGCACCAAATTGGTTTCAAGTAACCTATGCTCTATTTAAATTCTCCCTCTCTTTCTTGCTCTCTCTCTCTCTCTCTTTCTCACTCACTGATTACTTTCAACTAATCCACCCTTTCCCCGTTTCCAATGGTAAACGCAGGCGGACGATGCCAGCGGCATACATTTCTCTGCAGGCAATGGCAAATCGCGCCTGGGACTCGGCTCCTCGCCCAGCCTGGTTAGTGTATCGGGTACGCTGTCGCGGGTGAACACTGTAGCCTCGGCACTGAAACGCCTGCTCAGTCGCGACGAAAGCCGTCCGAGCTCCGCTACGCCCAGCGACGATCCGGGCAAGTACCGTTTCCCGAACAGCTCCAGCACAGCCAGCTTGACAGGACCCAACGTTGGCTCCTCGGCTGTGAAGCCGGCAGCGGGCAGCATGCGCATCACCCAACAGGTCATCGAGGAGGTGGACGAGCAGGCAACCATCACTTCCACACGCCCCCACGATCCACGCCCCAATGTCAAAGACATTTTCTCGCCCACCACCGGCGACCCACAGCATCAGCCGGGCGGCCAGCCACTGCAACCGCCACCGCCTGCAAGTAGACCCGGCGAACTGCCGGCGCGCTCCCAGCCAATGGACATACCCAGACGCTCGCCTCAATACGAGCGCGCCTACTCGCAGTATGAGCCGACAGCATCGCTCTTCCCACCCGGCGGTGTGGACGCACTGCTGAGCACCTCGGCGCCGGCTGGAGACGGTCCCTCGCTTTTGGCAGGAGACACGGCGCCCAGCTCGCCGCAAGGCGACAGCAGCAAATCCCTGTTTGAGCCGAACAGGGTTGCCAGCCGCGAGACAGGTAAGTGGTCGGCCCTGGTGCCATGGAATGATGCCCACAAAGCCTTCATTCTCCTGTGTTTGATATTCATATTTAACATATCTTCATCTATTCACATCCATACACACGCACACACACACACATCTCGATCTTTCGACTGTTAATACTTAAAGCGAGTGAGAGACCCGATGCACCGCAGTACTTCCGGTGGTTCGTGACGCCCGGTAAAGTTCAAGCATTGGCCAAACTAAGTTTATTTCGTTCCTTAGCCTATTCTTCCGCATATTTGTTGCCAGTCCAAAATTTATTCTTGTCGGACATTTGGTATCGTCTATTATTTTCAGCTCTCTAAATCACAAATTATTATTATTAATATTATTTTCGTTGTTTTTATATATTTTTTTTATTATACATCTGTAGACTTTTTAACTAGAATTACTAACCATAATTTGCATCCGTAGTTTGTATTGTGTTGCATAAGACTCGTATTTGATTCTTCGATTTTAGGTTGTTGATAAGGTAAAACTTTCCTTACCGTAAAATTTATATTTAGATTTTGCCTAGCCGTATTCCCTCTAGCCGTTGCACGTCTTACTTAACCCTCATTAATCCCTGATTATTTTTGTTCCACTTGACGCTAATACCAATCTCTGTCCTTGCAGTCGAAAATCTCGACGTCAAAGCATCGGCCGATGTTTTGGCCAATCCAGCTGCCGAGCCCCCGCCAGACACTGGCGATGACTTCGAAAAACTACGAGCTGCTCGCGAAAAGGAGAAGCTGGTGCGCCAGCAAATGAACTTGGCGCGGACGATTAGCACCGCCCCGGGCGTGGATGCCTCCGGAGTGCCAGTTGTGGTGCCAGTGGCACTAGTGGCGCCACCCGCGGCTCAGCCGGCCGCCCCAACCCCGCTGAGAACAGTGCCCTCCAATGCTGACTTGCTCGCCGGCACTAATCCAGTGACCAACTCGACCATCAAGTCCGAGGATGCCACCACAGGAAGTTGAACTGACAGTTAGAGTTTTACATTTGGGCGTACTACATAGGGAGTACGCCGCCTGTGCTGTATACTTTTTCAAACTACCCTTAAGTTGATTAGTTAGCGTTAGTTAATTTATCTATGCTGCTAAACTTAATACCTTAACAAGCACAATGATACAAAAAAAAAAAAAAAAAAAACAAATAAGCAGAGTTAGAAACAGATTAAGAATGCTCATAACGTTAAAACGATCTTGAGTGAAAGTGGACCCATTTAGCGCAGTTAATATAATATTACTATTATTTATCAGTTAAGTCAACAGTGATTTGAATCTATACAATAATATAAGTTTTTCTAAATGGCCAATCAATTGTGTTTTATTGATAATTAAAGTCGAATCGAGAGCTCTAGCGGGTCTGCCCTGACTACCTTGATATCACTGATGCACGCAGCTGATATTCAATCAATCGGTTCGTGAGTCATTTTCATATACTTATAGTAGATCTTCGGTTAACGAGCCTCTGATAAAAATCTCGATTTTTGGGAAAAATAAGTTTCGCTTAACGAACAAGGTTTCGCATAACGACTAAACAAATTTTGGAAAACATTCTTTGTATGCAAAATATCTGTCGATGTCAAACAACGAAATAGCGGAACCCCAAGTACACATTATAGTGTTTTCCATTAATCGTTTTAGCACATTGCAGATAATTAAGATGCAAAATTTGTGGTTTCAGTTAACAAACAAGATGCTGGAACGACTGGAACGACTGTGTTCGTCAACCGAAGGTTCACTGTATGTTACCCATACTATTGGAAATCGAGTTATATACAAAATTAACGATTGCTGTTGATGAGACTTTTACGAACGATTATGTCATCCAAAGGTGTCCTAAAGCGTAAATTTATATTTTTTTTTTAGTTTTTTTTTTGTTAGAAAGAGATGAACGGATGGGTAATATACGTAATTCGACATTATATGTGCTAAACTTGAAAGACGACGGTAATAAATCGAAATTTTACGAGCTATAGTTTTCTTTTTTCAGTTATTTAATTATGGAACTTAGAAATTCATAATATAAAAATAAAAATCAATTAAAAATATTCTGTCTTTCTTCATAACCGTCATCATAAAATTCTTGGATTATTTGTGGAGGCAACAAACTGATGTTGATATAGGTCGCTTCACAGTCATTCTGATACTGTGTGTGATCAACTAGTCTTTAAAATTTTCGATAAATTTGTGATTATCTAAGAGCCACTAGGACGCACATTGCGTAAAATAACAAAAGTATTTCAAGATTGTAGGAACTTAATTTTGGTCTTAAGAATTTGTAGTAAATGGCAGTATTTTAAGATGAAATAATGCGAATTTATTTGAGATATGCATTGCACTAAGTTAGTTGAACGCATGCATGAAATGCACAAAACAATTAATTTCATTTATACGATATTTAAATTGTATTCATTTCCTAACTTTTACAATCCGTATACAAAAAAAAAAGAAGTTAATAAATATAAGTGATCCACGTTCGAACTTAAGATTCAACTTATAAAAACGTACGTACATATAAGAATCTCCAAATAGCATCGTCTCACATCACTTAATAAGATTACATACAACACTTGATATAAATTATATATCTAATGATATTTAATATAGTTTTAGATACTAAGTCAATACAACTAATAGAAATTAACATAAACGCCAAAAGCGTTCAAGGGAAAATCATCAAGTTGGTTGGGATAGTGCGTAGACAGGATTATCAGTTGGCTCATTAAATGTGTGTGCTAGCAGAGCAAGCTAATAGCGTGTCACCTGGCCGCCATAGCGGTCCTGTGCCGGGCGACTACCTCCATACATTCCACCAGCTCCGCTGTTGCCTTGGTAGCCACTGGAGCGTTCGTTGTAGCTGCGATCAAAACGGCTCTGTGTCTGCATTGGACGCCAGTTGTCATCGATGGTGGCCGATTTTTGCCACGAATTGTTGCCATGCATGTTTGATGACATTCCATTGTTGCTGTAAGATTTCAATGGGCCTCCGCCACCTCCCAAATGAGCGCTGCCACTGCCGCCACTGGATGGTGCCCATATGTTAACGTTGTTCGAGTTGCTGCCATAACCACTGGTTGCTCCACTGCTGGTTGAGTTATCATAACGTTTGTTGCTACTAAAAATGAAAAAAGTCCCGTTTATAATGTCTTCAATTTAGGAAAGTTCATTTATTCATTTACTCACTGGGACATGTCGTCGACGCCGCCACGTCTGTAGTTAGAGGTGTTGCTGCGGTCGGCATCGTTGTAGCGACCACTCCCACCACCGGTTCCTCCACTTGTGTTGTTCTTGTGACCATATGAGGCGGTAACGTTGCTAGTGTTGTTCTTGTGCACATATGAGCCGGCGCCGCCGCCCGTGTTGCTCTTGTGAACATAAGAACTGCTCGAACCACCGGTGCTTACACCACCTGATGAGACCGGCAAGTGGCGAACCTCAACGTCGCGCTTGTAATCATCACGCTTGCTGGTGGTGGACGACGAGTAATCATGCTTGGAGCTTGTGCCATAATCATTGCCAGAGCGCTTACTGGGCACCGCAGCGTATTCATCGATAGCACCACGCTTGGTACCAGTGGAGCTGCCGTATTCGCTACGTTTGTTTGAGGAATATTCAATTCGCTTGGAGCTCGAATAGTCATCAAGTCCACGCTTGGAGGTCGACGAGGTGCCATAATCATCATGCTTCTTGTCATAAGTACTAGTGCTGCCAAAAACAAATTCGGATTAATGCCAATCTACAATGGGAATCTTTGAAACGTACTTGCGTGAGCTAACCAAAGATGTGTCAAAACGTGGCGGTGGTGGAGCATCAAAGACCGCGGAGCGCTTGCGGTCGGAGACATCGGTGTAGCGATCATCAGAGCGCTTGCTTAGCGAACGCTTAACGGGATCATCGCGTGATTCCATAATCCTGGAGTGCCAAGTGGGGAAAGATGAAAAGAGTAAAGTATAATATATTAGCAATATTTCAAAGGAATGCAGGTCAGATCGTCACATAAATGTAAATAGAGTTTAGACTAGGATGCAGTTCGTTTGCAGTTGCATAAACATACATGAATGCAAAAGCATTTGCCTAGACTGCCCGGCAGTTTTGTTGAGGTTGAAGAAACAACGTGGCTGCTGCAACTTAACACACTTAGCTTAATTTACAAGGCCAAATGCCCTTTGAGAATATGTAAAAATAAATATGGTGTTTGTTGTTTTCTTTTTTTTTTTTTTTTTTATATAGCATTGTGTGTGCAACGCTGTTACGTTTATCATACTTCATCTGTTGACGCTTCAATTCAAGGCGCTCCAGCTCGATTTTCTCACGCTCCAGCTTCTGACGCTCCCGCTCCATACGCAGCAGCTCAGCCTTCTCGCGCTCAAGGCGCTCCCGCTCGATAGCCAGCTTGCGTCTTTCTTCGGCCAGGCGCTCCTCTTCAATGCGCTGGCGTTCACGTGCTTCGCGACGACGTCGCTCCTCCTCGCGAAGCTCACGCTCGCGTTCACGCAAGCGCTGGCGTTCCCGCTCCTCACGAATCTTCTGATAGGACAGCATTTCGCGTTGGCGTCGCTCACGCTCACGCTCACGCTGACGTTGCTGGATCTCACGGTCATCTCGAGGTTGGCGTGCCGAACGACGCTCGTGGGACTCATCACGGTGCTGAGACTTGTGACCCGTTCCAGAGCGGTGATCACGCTCGTGGCGCCTATCACTGCCCGTTGTCGACTTATCCTTGTCATCACGTGATGGCTTGCCGTTGCGGTCCTTGTCCTTGCCGTCGCGCTTGTTGCTAGATTCCCCACCCACGCTCTTGCCATCCCCATTGGCGTCGCCACCCTTCTTGTCATCGCCCCCGTTTCCCTTGCCGCCTGACTTCTTATCATCATCCTTCTTCTTCGAGTCATTGCTGGACTTGCTGTTCGTCTTGTTATTACCCTTATTGCCAACGTCTTTGGATGAGCTTGCGCTGCCGCCGATTTCATTCTTGGTGCGTTCCACTGATATAATTCGACCGTGCAGCTCCGTACGATGCAGATTATCAATGCAGCGCGAGGCATCTCCGGACGAAGACATGGTTACGTAGCCGTAACAGCGTGTGCCAGGAGTGCGAGTGTTGGTGACCACCTTTGCTCCAATCACCTTGCCGAACTTCGAGAAAATGGCCTTCAAGTCGCTGGCGCGTGTTAAAGTAGACAAACCGGATACCCAGAGATTGCGTGACAGCAAAGCCTGCTTGCCAGCAGCACTGGACGAGGCACCAGCTGCGCCTGCACCTCCCGCCGATCCCGACTTGCTGTTGGCAGCGGCACCCGATGATGCCGATGCTGCACCTGCTGCTGTTGTCGATGTTTTCTCTGCAAGTTCCATGTAAATAATAACAATATTGGAAGAGAGTTATGGTCAGAGCTGTGAGTGGCTGGAAAACTGTTTTGGTATTTGGTATTGTTTTTTTTATCATTGATCGTTAAGGGAAGCACTTTAAACGTACACTTTGTAGCTGCTGCTGTTTGCTGTTGTATTGTAAATTATTGTCATAACGAACCTGAATCTGACTCTACATTATAAGTATATCGTGAGAAACTGCGCACTACGAAAGCTAAGAGAGTGTGAATTTGATTGGGTTGCTGCTCATGATTCCACTGTCGCTGCTCTGTCGCTCTCAAAGAAGGATGCCATGCAGAAGGGCTGCCAAAGTCATCATGCTGTCGTAGCCATCGTGAACGTGAAGAGCTTGCCAGTTGCCGGGTATGATACGTGCTCCTCAGATCGACGCCACTCGTTGGCTCATCGTTTAAGAAGCTGCTGTAGGTCCATTGGCAAAGGCATTCACCGTCAACGTGTTATAGATGGTATGCTGGGAAAATCAGTCCACCTTACAGGTCGATTAAAAAGCGCCGTGCAGGACTCGCCAAGTAAATTGAAGAACATCGACGAATTTGCCAAATTTACAGTCGTTTAATATGTGAAATATCTCTTCTCCGGAGGAATTCACCTGCTGCTTCTCTTCGAAGTATTTGCGTAGGGATACTATACTGCATGCAATCAACCCAAATACAATCAAATCGATGGAGTGCTGCAAATCTAGAAGAGCCTTCAGAAGCCTCGCATCCAGCATGGTCAAATGTTCGTCACGGCGATTTCTCTGTGTTACGTCTTACGTGATCTGTGTACTGATCAGATGGGATTCCTCCAAGTTGAATTGCTGTGCAGTCAGTTACGTCCATTCCACTCCCAACCAAATTCACACTCTCTTACACACTGTCTTACAAGTGTGCCGCATATGGTGTTTTTTATCGCAAGCTTTTTTTTACTTAGTTCATGC